GTTCTCGTGTAAACAGGGCCTTGGTATGAAAATTTTTGGTGAATTATGATTTGTTCGTGAAAACGTTTGTACGCAGATTTCCTGCACAAATTAGTGCGTGCATGTTTAGTGAATTGGGGATCTGGTTTTGTCTGAGAATATAGTGCAATAACATATTGCAATACTTTGAAATGTCAATTCCCACTCCACCAGTGCATTATCCCAGAAGCAGAGGGACATGGAGAACTGACCTGGAGTCAGTGATTAGTACACTTGGAACAAGTAATTAGCATGGCAGCTGTGGCGGTTCAGAGGTGAACACCAGCCACAGTCTTCTGGCTGACAGCTGGACAGACTGTCAGGCCACCTGGTCAATTTACTTCCTTGCGCACACAAGAGAGGCTTCCTGCCAAACTTCCTGTGCCTCATCAAGGCTCAATCCAGATTAATTTGTAAACCCAGGCACTGCAGAGAATAATCATGCTTTGAATCAAAAGTGCTTTAATTTGTAATTTTGTTAATTTTTCACCATTGCATAGAGCTGGTTATAATTCCAAACCAGTTTCCACCGGCCAATTATGTCAGCGACGTGTGCGTTTGAAAAATCAAGGATGTTTTGAGCCTCTGTCAACCCTGACTGACTGGTGGCAGGCTCAGCCCGGTATGAACATTTCCAAAGGGTTTCGTTGTCTTTCCGGCTAACAATAAGACTTTGACACAGGCAGACTGAAAGTGTGTGACCTCATCGCTCAAAGACTCTTCATTTGCTGCATTGCAGTGACATCATTAGACCACAGCTTCCTTTCACGGATTCGATTCTCGCCACTGCACATCATTTCATGCTCTGGTGCGCACATCTCAGCATGGAACCATGCAGGTGTGTGTGTGTTTGTGAGGGATAACATGGAAGTGTGATTGTCTGTTTTAGTGAAACACTGTCAGAAACTCTATTTAAAGGTTGCGGTGTGAAACGCTGCCTGTTCTCACTCACTTTGCGAATCTACTTTTGTGAACTTGCCGTGTGACCCTCAGAAGCATTGTAAAGGAGATAATTAGAGATTAGTATTATGTGCTATGGCTAATTACCTCATGATGCGATACACGTATCATATACGATATGTCATCATAATTCGGTACAAGGGGTTACCGGTTTGAAGATAAACCATGATAAAAATCCCTGATGGTTAGTATTACTGTTTCATATTTTAGTTATCCTTAATTACGTGATTTATACTGTCCCACATTAAGCAAAATCAGCAACAGTCTCACATAGGGGGAACATTAGTTTTGTTTTGTGTGAAAACATGGCACAAGGTAGTAAAATGTTTAACTGACCAAAGAAGTTGCTCTAACTGGACTGGGGAATGTCTGTTTAATAGCTTGTGCTTATTTAGGAAACCTGTTTTTTTTGGTTTAGTGAAAATTCATTTGATAAATGGATTTAAAGGGTTATTTCTACGGAGCCCCTCTAGTCCCACTTTGGTAAAAAAAATTAATTATAACTATCTTGTGGCCTCAAGATAGTAACTCGTGGCCTCAAGATACTAACTCGTGGCCTCAAGATACTAACTCGTGGCCACAAGATACTAACTCGTGGCCACAAGATACTAACTCGTGGCCACAAGATACTAACTCGTGGCCACAAGATACTAACTCGTGGCCACAAGATACTAACTCGTGGCCTCAAGATAGTAACTCGTGGCCACAAGATACTAACTCGTGGCCACAAGATACTAACTCGTGGCCACAAGATACTAACTCGTGGCCACAAGATACTAACTCGTGGCCTCAAGATAGTAACTCGTGGCCTCAAGATAGTAACTCGTGGCCACAAGATACTAACTCGTGGCCTCAAGATACTAACTCGTGGCCTCAAGATAGTAACTCGTGGCCTCAAGATAGTAACTCGTGGCCACAAGATACTAACTCGTGGCCTCAAGATAGTAACTCGTGGCCACAAGATACTAACTCGTGGCCTCAAGATAGTAACTCGTGGCCTCAAGATAGTAACTCGTGGCCTCAAGATAGTAACTCGTGGCCTCAAGATAGTAACTCGTGGCCTCAAGATAGTAACTCGTGGCCACAAGATACTAACTCGTGGCCACAAGATAGTAACTCGTGGCCACAAGATACTAACTCGTGGCCTCAAGATACTAACTCGTGGCCACAAGATACTAACTCGTGGCCACAAGATACTAACTCGTGGCCACAAGATACTAACTCGTTAACTGTTATTTGTGCCCCTCTTAGTCTTTCTCTGTTTAATACAATGGAATTTTGATCAATACCACCAAATGAGCCCTGTTTTATCGAATTAAATCAGCACATATCCTCACTTCAGAAGAGTTTTTCACTCTCGTTTTCTTTCCCTCCCCCTCCCTCCCTAAGGAGCCAATCAGCTCGCAGGCTCTCCTACTGACCATTATAGAAAACAAGCAAGACAGAAGAAAGGAGACAGAGCTCTGAAGCAAAAGCCATGGTGCAGTTCAGTAGTGGAAAGAGAGCGAGAGAGAGAGAAACGGGGAAAAACACTGTTGAATAGGCAGCAATCTCGTAACTCATCCCCCAACAGGCTGATGTGTGTTTTTAATAGTAGTCACAGTATGTGAATATGCTTTCATCTTGGGAAGAGATGCTGAATAGCTGAGTGGAGTTAACTTGAATCTTCAGGATCGCACAGATTTATTAATGCTGCTTGCAATACAATTACTGTTGCTCAACCTAAGTACTAAACGTTGGCACGTAGCTCGTTTGTGCTACGGGGTATGAATGACACCTCAAAGCGTGCCTCTGTGTGCTATTACTTTTCTAAGTAATCAGGTTTTTTCCCCTGGTGGGTGATACCACAGGCATGACTAAAGAGGGACCCTGAGTGTTTTTTTAGAAATCTGAATATCATTCGATTTAGGGAGGGATTATTTGCATTTGGGCCAGTAAAAAGCCACCTAGAATAACCTAGTAACCACCTAGCAACCACCCATAACACCCTAGCAACTAAGGCAGGGTATTGCTACAGATCTCCAGATTTGATTCCTATAGGTGGTTTGCAGTCACGTGATTGTGTTGACGCGTGGAATGCAGATGGAGAGCAAGGAGTGAAGAGCGCAATGGACGAGATGGAGGAAAATCCGTCCTGTACTACTTTAGACGCTATTACAAGAGAAATATATAAACAGAAAATCGAAACATATGTTGGGCGTGATCCTTACGTTAGGAAGAGGACCGATTTTCAGCTAAATTGAGAGATTTGCCTGCCATCGAGGCTGTAGATATCAGCAACTAACTCGTCTTACAGACATACTTTGACTTTACAAAGTTCGGAAACTGGTGCATTACACAAACAGCCTCATAAGTGTATTTAAACACCTGAATAATGTAATTGTAAGCCACATAATAATGTATTAACTCACATTTGACGAAGTGATTACTGCACACACAAAGGCATTTTCCCATTCGGCTCCTCCCGACCGCAGACGTAGGTTTGCAAGGCATTTTTCACGGTGTTTTTCTGTCAATTTCTTGTATTTTCCACCCTTATGAACAACAACTTTTGGCACACGATAAAAACTCCTCGTGGTTTGATCGATTTGAGCAACCATAAACGACAAAAAACAAGCATTTTGAGTGTGTTATAGTGCTTCCTAAATATAGAAAATCACTTCCTGCCCTCCATCTACATTTCGCGCCATGGTAACGCAGTGGCGTGACGTCACATGAAAACAAGCTATTCAAAACTCTCTATTCAATTTCAAATTTCCAAAATAGCTCAGTTATTAGTCGTTTTAAATGTATGAAAGAAAATCTCTCTCAGTTTAAAGGCATAGTCTAATTCTGTCATTTACTCGGCCTCGTTTCATTCAAAAGTCTTCTGGAAAACACAAAAGATGATATTTTGTAAAATGCCTCAGTGTTTTATTTATTTTTTATTATTCAGTAAAAATCAGTATAGGGTCCAAAGTTTTTTTTTCGACAGTTATTTCACCGGTTTTGATCCATACATTTATTCTTCAGATAAATATTATCAAATGAACAAAATCAAACAATCTCAAATTCGTTTGTATTGTTATATTAGTACATAAACCAATTTGCCAAGGTATGCATACATGGGAATCAAACCCATGAGCTTAGTGCTGCTATTTATTTAATTTCTATCTATAATCATCTCAACAAATAACTGCTGTTGATGCCAACTGAAGTAAACATTAAATTGCATATCTTGTGAATAACAATATGGTATGCACTATAATGACCCACTATGTATACAAAAGGCTTATCACATCTAGCTTCCACACGGTAGTGCATTACGTCCTCAATTTATAGGCCATTTGTGCCTTGCTGGCATCCTGTAAGTGTGTTACGTAGACGTATAGCACATACTAGTGTGCCGTCTCTTTTACCAGATCCTTGTGATTCATCATCAGACTCCAATTGGGAGCTGCACTACTTACTACTAGTACTCCCTATTAGAACAACAGACAGGCCCACAGGGCCCAAATCCGACAGATACGGAGGAGTCGTTTCCCTCATTACCTGCTCTGTGTGTGAAAAGATGTTTCTCTCAAGGGAAGGGAGAAAAAGAGTTTTGCCTTTGATGAACTAAAAAGAACACTGTGGGTTGAAGGAGGAATGTCTTCATTATGCAAACAGGACAGAACAGAAACGAGTTTTCGAGCATCTGATGGCGTTCAAAAGATGCTGCTTTCGGATGCGTAAACTGGGGTGCTCCTGCATATTTAAAGATGCGTCTCTCTTTATGGATCTTCCCTGCTTGTCTGTGTGTTGCATAACAGAACGACTGGTTAGAAGTCTGTCTAACCCTCTGTGTAGAATACTGAGAGATATTACGAGAGTCCGCTGAGATCTGCTTCCATTAGCACCCACTGCAGATACATTAATGTGTTTCACGCAACGCAAGGGCCCTGTGTTTATTGGAACATCTTTTCCAGGGTCTTAGAAGAACCATTCGAGATGTGAATCAGTCACGTGTGTTGCTCTAACGTGTGCGTCATGTGTGTTTTCAGACTTGATCCACTGCACCAATGAGATGAATGTGAACGTTCCCCAGCTGGCTGACACATTGTTTGAGAGAACCACCAACAGCAGCTGGGTTGTGGTCTTCAAGGCGCTCATCACCACACACCACCTAATGATGTATGGAAATGAGGTGAGATTCTGCACTTGAACTTCATCCTTTTTTTGGGGTGGGGTGGGGTTGATTCCAGACAACCTTCTGTGAAGATACAGCATAGCTCGGTCAAATTGACCCTACATGATAAATCACTCAGCAGTCACAATGTGCTGTTTGTGACTGAGTGTGTGTGAGACATGGTGACAGACAGTGAAAGCATTTTACATTGCCATCCTGAAAAGTTGGTGTTAAGTTACAGTAAATCTGTGATGGATGTTTTAAATGTGTCAAAGTGGCCTGCAATAACTTGGACAGACTAAACGAGTGACATTCCTAAGTTTAGCTGAATGCCTAAAGCCTTATCCAGGCATGTTCATTACTGTCATTTATCATATGTAATAAATTATATTATATGAATGAAATTAATAGAACTGAAATGTAAATGGACTTAGATTTTCTTCATAGCATTACATTTTCTTAGTTCAAAGCAATATTTTAATATTTTGCACTACCGTTTGGGGTTGTTAAGATGTTTTAATGTTTTTGAAAAAAGTCATTTATTTGATTTAAAACTGTGAAATACCATAATAATTTAAAATAACTGTTTTCTACATTGAACATTGCAAAAATTGAACAAATTTCACAGACATTTGATGATCAGAAAAGAAATAATGGAGGGGCATATGGTTATAGATGGTTTGGCTCTGCAGTAGCACTTTCTCCCTGTAACACTGTCTTTTAGGCGTCTTACATTACGGACATTGCAGTTTATCGTTCTGGCCACAACCCGAAAAAGGCATGTTTGCTGAGTTTACTTAGTTACATTACTTTCACTTTTGATACATTTAATGCGCCCTTGTTGAATCAAAGTATTCATTTCTTTTAAGAAATCCTCAAACTTTTGAAAGGTGAATTTTTTTCACAATTCTACAGAGGTCTCGCTAATGAGGAGGAAAAGTGGGAGCGATGCCACTGCCTTTCTGTCTTAGATGTATTATATAGTGCATTTTAAGATAAATATACAATCATTTCATAATTCATAGACATGTACTGTAGGTCTGGCAGACCAAATATTCAACTTCTGTTGGACATTTCTATTGGTAATTAATGCATTTTGAAACTGAAATGAAAAAATACTTGCAAACATGTGCTAATAGTTCAATACAGTGTTTGAGTTTGAAAGTTTGTACAGTTTATGCGCAGCAACAAGAGTTAGATAGAAATAGATGCCTACGAGCACAAACATGTAGACCGCTAATGATAAACAGCAGGTAGGTGAGAACATGACACACACACACACATTAATGATATATACAGTAGGACGTGACCTAGATGTGCACATGGCCTGCTTAATGCATTGTTACTACAGTACATAAGCTCCTCTAGAAATGCACACACATTTACCTAGCTACAGTATCTAAATATACCAAATACTTGTTCACTTTCTATCTAAAGCTAATTGTAATTATTTCAGACCTTAAAATGAAAATTCTTTCACCATTAGGCTATCCTCCCACATGTCTTTCCAAATATGTATGAATTTTTTGACTAATTTTCACTGTTGTCCTGAAAGGGACGGTTTGTCTGTTAGATAACTTGTGGGATTCAGTGAATCAGAAGTTTGCACGATTCATTAAAAGAGTTGAGTCATTCGATTACTTTGTGAAATGTACTAAGGCGAGCCAGTGAAGAAAACACATCTATTGTATTGACCTGGCATTATTTCGTAGTGCACTGTCCTTTTTATCTCATCACATTCAATTTAGACAGCAAGCTCACAACTCGGGGTGGATATAATTACTTTTTCTGGCACTATAGATTCCGCAGGAAACAATGGCACACGCACACACAAAAACAATGGCAGTGCTAGTGACTCACATGTGTCCTTGTTCATTCCCTTGGACTATAAAATAAAAAGCCCTTCACTCTACGTCTTGTGCTCGCCAGTGTCAGAGATAGTGATAGTCCTTCAGCACACCCTGTTCTATGGCATGACGGGGCACTAATCAGCCGGGGGGGGGGGATTTTGTTATCGGAGCTGAACGTCTGGCCCAGGTCAGGACTAGTCTTAATCCTTTACCCCATTATGGTTTCAAAAACACACGTTTGGTTATCACTGTCTGTCGAGGAGCAGAGACATTTGTCTTGTCAGCAGTAGTCCTGTGAGAGGGCACAGCCAGGAAGGACCACAGATAAGGTATTGTTGATAAGGGCGTTTGCCCATGCGTTTCTGCGAAAAGCAGAGGAAAAAGGGCGATGTCACTCAATGATGGCCCAGATACTGAACGAACAATTTGATATAGTGACGTTGTCACTAGGATTGTATGTTGTCTAGGGTAGAGATAGGAGAGGAGGGGTTGTGAAAACATCTAGGTAGGATAACTTTAGGGATAAGAAACTTTAAGAGAAAGAGAAATTGCAAGGGACAGCAAGAGATGCGGGTGGAATTTTAATCGGCTGGTTCATGTGGGGTCACACTGTAGACAAATTGCTTAACCTTGTATGGGGACACCACTGCCCCAGCTGTCCATCTAGAATGGTTCGTTTTGGGTACCGAAGGAAGAGTGTGTGAGTGAGCTATAACTAAAGATTGAGAGAGGTTGTGTGTGAGGGGAGTTCAGTGGATCTATTTGAAGCTGCAGGCTCACATAAAGGTTAGTTTAATAAAGAGTGTATGTGCTTTTGGTTTCATCATTAACTTATCTGTCAACTATTTTTGGGCCCTGTAACCGTTTACTGGACCCCCCTTAACTTTTAAAAAGAACTTTTTACTGGGATTCAGTCCTGGGAAGTGTCCTCCTATAGTGAGACCGCCGATCCTGAAAACACCATGAGCGTCACACGTGTTTCAGTGTGTGTGCGGTTTACAAAACCGTGCCCCTCATTCACACAGAGACATGAACAGAACATGCAGACTTCAGAAGTAAATAGCATCCTTTTTGCATTTGAATATTCACAGACACTGGTTAATATAGCGATTTAAGTGCGTATTCATACTTTTGATTTATTCATCCAAAATTTGCCACAGTATTATTCCACATTATACTGTGAATTCCATTTTTATGGATTGGATTTTTGATTCTGCCACACTTTCCTCATTGCTGAAATCATAGGGCCCTACTATTTGAGTTGAATAGACTAATACCACTTGTTAATAATTGGAGATGCACAAATATTGACCAGAAGATTGAATGGAATTAATGAATTTGGTATAAACATTGTGTCAAACATTTGTTCCTTACAATTAATAATTTTGCTTCAGCAAAAAAAAAAGAAAAAAAAAAAAGTGGTTGATCTATTCTCTGTTGTCTCATCACTGGACATGCAGCTGTGTCTATAGAAAATCAAAATTGACTCCATTTACTTTATTTACTCCTGGTCTCATTATGCAGTGCATATTAGTTCAGAGAAGGAAAAAAAACTAGTTGTCTTATCTTTCATCAAAATTTAATTAACTTCTACATCTGAAACGTCTTTCTTGCGCAGCTTCTGTCACGTGGGTCACATGGGCTCCTGGATAATGTTAAACAATAGCCAAATAGCTGTAGGCATTGTTTAAGGCTATTGCTGTAATTAATGCAGCCTCTCTGAAATCTCGCTGATAGTTAACACAGAAAATTAATGTCAACACAAGACCACCGAAGAGTTTCAGCATTTAAAGATCTAATTTTATTAAGTCCGTGCAAATGTCAGGCTTGAATATGCTCTTCGAGTGTGAACACAGGTGCTCAGCGTGTGCTCTGGGATCCTGTGTCTGACATCTGGTGCATTTTTCTGAAGAACTCCAGAGAACAGTCTCTAGATGAATTTGTTGCTGCTGTATATAATGCTATGCTATGTATAATCTATGGATTCGTGGAATTTGCTTCCCTTCATAATTCAAAAGTGCATGTAATTGGGTGTAAAGACATTGCTTCTGTTTTCTGGGCTTTTATTTTGTCTATTGGAGAGATCTGACCAAATCTGTCAATAATGTAATACATACATTACATACAAACATTTATTGTTTTATCCAGTCAAATTTGGAAATGCATGCATCACATTTTTGACGTAACAATCCTAAAGGAATGGATTGCAAATGCTGTTTCATGTTGACTTTGAAGGCTTTTCTGACATAGCTGTGAATTGGGCTGTTTAGCATTCTGGCCATGTGCTGACTCTTGAGTTCAGGTCCCTGTGTGGGATCTGTTTGCATAATGGATGTTGTTTGTGACTGATGTGAACTAGGTAAGGTAATTATTACCTTTATGAAACATTCTCTCACTCCCCTGATGTCTTTTTCCCTCTTTGTCTACCCTGCAGGCAGGAATGGCAAATCTTGGCAGAAACACCTGTTTCTCAGTATCAGTAATGCATAAGTAGGGAGTATGGGTAAACTAAATGTGGGAATTGGTGAACTCACCTTGTTGGATTGAAACATTGACCATTTGTTTTCTGTGGTGGTCTTCAATGACGGGGACGGAGTTAGTTATCCATGATGCTTTTTCACTTTTCTTCATTGCAATAAGAACTGTTGCCCACACTGGTTTTTGATAGGGTAATTTTTAGTTTAATGGTTTACATTATTTACTTCTCTTTTTTTTTTTGCTGGTGAGATTTTGTGAGCGTGAAACTACTTCAGCTAAGCTTTGCAAGTTTGATGCTTTTTTCAATTTGGTGACCCATTTTCACTTTGTATTCTAGTTCAGGCTTTCATTGTGAATCAGATGCAATTCCAGCTCTTAACTTTACAAATAAAATGCGTTTAGTGTTTGAAAATAATCGCTATCGAACAACCTGCCTCCTTTCACATCCTGTCATTATCTTTTTGTGCTCGCCATTTTTCTTTAAGCTTTTTTTCTAACCGTAGTAATTGCTCTGGCCGTATCCATAGAAACCTCAGAACATGTATGGATCGAGAGAGCGAAGACACATTATCAGGGCATCATCATGCAGACCATTTACACATGTTCCCTGCAGCGTTAGTGCTCTCGCGCACAAACACGCACACATACAGCTTTCACATGCAGTTCGAGCGTTGCTTCTGGATCAGTTCCTGACTGCACGTGCAAAATCAGTGCTTAAAACATGAGCAATCCCCATTCCCAGATAGCTGATATCTTCCCTCAGCCTGAGCTGCTGTGTTAATAGAAGCTCCTCCGTTCGGGAGAGAAACCTCCAAGCCGAAGTGCCTCCTGCCTTAATAATAAATGATGCTTCTCTCTGACACTACTTGAGGTTTGTTCTCACATTAAATATTTGCTAAGCAAAGAATGTGGGACCCTTCCTAGACTATCAATCTATATTTATCGTCCTTACTTCTGACATCCATTTTGAATAACCTAAGCATGTACGATAGAGGCGTTCCTGCAGAGGAGCGTGGATTTGCAGACTCCACTGAATTAGTAATCCATATCGATCTACGCTCTGGAAGGGTGCAAAATTCTCCGCATTTTGGTGCTCACTGGCTCGGCCATGCATTTTCCAAGAGGTTTCTCTCCAAGGTTAAGCCATGGTGCCAGAGAGAGAGAGCCGCACAGCTGCTTTCCTGGGGATTTTCTCCATGGTCTGAATGCGGTCTGCCTCACTCCGCTTCTCTGATCTGATCCCGAAGGATTTTAGACCAGCGTTTGAGGCACGGGTCGGTTGCAAAGCAGAAGTATGCCAGTATTTTCTCTGAGAATGATTTTCCATGCACCCCTGTGTTACATCAGTATTTCCCCCATTGTCCGTTTTTTAATGTTAGAATGATAATAAAATGGAGCTGCACAAATTAAAGCGTTTGTAAAAGAGATTGAGGAAACTCACTCAAAGCCATCACATGACCAGGGCCAGCCTGAGATCAGAGATCATTGGTTTTTTCAAAGGGTGGGTGGCCTCTTTCCCTCTATTTACACGCAAGACTCTCAGCCCAGTGTTCCATGGATTGCCACTCTTGATCCTCCAACTTAAGCAGAGCTAGGAATGCAGTATTTTTTAACCTTTCGTTCCTTCAGATCCATTTTAGGAACCGTGTGTGATTTCAGTGACTCTCGACCTTTGAATACTTTTACCACAGGCAGAAATGGCCACTGCCAGGTCTATTTTATTCCTCTGCGCCAAGCAGATTTTGCCTGACCGCTGGGCCTGTCACCAGGTCCTCATGCTGGTTCTCCCCTGAGGTGAAACAAGCCTAAGGCTCCATCCCAGTACGTAAAAACTAGTACATTTCCTGCTGACTCTTTGCACTGATTTGCAAATTAAGATCAAGGTTACACCTACTGCATTCTGGTGGCTGATAACTTTGTGGCGTCCAATAAATCACATTGACGAATACAGTTCCAGGAAAACACAATTAGTTATTCAGATTTATTGCAAGATTTAATTATTCAGATTTTCTTACTAATTATTTGTTGACGTTGTTTCAGGCAGTTGAAGGCTGTTTGCACCGGTTATTAAAGGGATAGTTCACCCTGAAATAATTTTTTTGTCATTAATTATTACTCGCGCTCATGTCGTGAGTCCCGTAAGTCTTTTGTTCATCTTTGGAACACAAATAAGATCTTTTTCAAATCTTTGTTTTAGTAAAGTGGTTAATTGACAGGTGAGTGGGCGGTCCATTGTTGCTTTGTGCAGATCAGTGTCACAAATGCAAGATCTTTTGCATTTTTAGCTATATTACAGTATGAAATGCGTGATCAGATCACAAAACATTTTAGAATATGATTATTCCTCTATTGATCACGAACTACTAAACAATATTTATACCAGTGGTTTTGAGGTCTGTGTAAGGGTACAATGTAGGGGTGTAAATTGGACTGTTCATCATGATTCAATATTGATTCTCTCAGCCAGTGATGTATTTGCCGATACCTCAAAAAATTCTGCGATACCATTACGATCCTATTTGATTCAGGGTTATATCGATTGATTTATGATATTTCCTTATTATGTGCCAAGTTTATACAACCAGTTACATTTATGAACTCACAAATGCAACCAAAATATATAACATGAACGTTTAATCAAGCTTGCAAAAATTGCACACCCTCTCCCAGTTGGGACGCTTACAACAGAAGAGTTCATTTGCAAAGACAAAACTCCAGTCTTGTTCATTTTCATAATCATATTTTTTATTATTATTATGCATTCCAAGTAATGTCAATCAAACTACAGCTGGGTTGTTTTGATTAAGTAATAAGTAAAAAAATACAGGTAACTTACAAAATTAAAATTAATTAATTGAAAGTATGTTTATATATATATATATATATATATATATATATAATATATAAATGTTATTTTTTGCAAAAGCCGATAACTCCACATTTCATGTTTCAGAGTTAAACAAAACCAAGTACTTGCTATGGTGCATAATAAAACAGTTAATTTTTGTAACGTTAATCTCCTCAACTGACATAGACGTCTGACAAACTTTGCTGTTGTGATTAGACGCACAGGGAGTTTTTCCCTGCTGGTTCCTATCAAGTTCGTTGAAATTATCCATCCTCAATCACTTTTAGTCTGCTTTGATGAAACTCCTCTCAGCTAGCGAGCCTATTTTCAAAGTGACTAACAGCCTTGTCACCTGACCTGAATACTGCCTGCTGATTTGCTAAAATGGACTTTTCGGGTTGTTCACAAACAACAAGGGTGCTGCTTGTCAGCTTCTGCTGTATGAATTTGCGATGCCTACCGGCTTTTGTGACAAAGCATGTTTAAGGTTCAGTTAATCTTGTCGGGTGTCTATTTCAGCTGAGAAAAGATACGTGAGGATGTGGAGAGTGTCAAAATAAAACTACCTTGTATTGATATTTTATGTGTGACATTGTATCGTTACATCCCTACTAGTGAACATTCATAAGTGACCTTCATTTATATATGTACCCAGGTCCAGAGTCTGTTTTACTTTCTGTTTACCCGTCATGTCCACTACATGCATGAATGAGGTCGGAATGCATCATATCTTAGTGTAAATCTTCTCCTGCATTCCCAAACCTCCCATCATGTCTGTTCACAACAGCACCTAGAATGCTGTGTGCTTCTGTTTGCTCTCTTCTTCAGCCCACAGCTGTGTGAGATGGTGCGATGGGGCTGTACGGAGGAGAGGAGCTGCAGCAGACATACTTGGCAGCTCAAAGAGAGCTCAGAGGAGTCTGGTCTTGTACACAAGTCTAGATTTCACACAGTGTACGGCAAATTCAGCAGCGGGGAGTTTCCGCTTGTCAGGGATGAAGTCGCTCTTGCATAGTGACAGATTAAGAGCTGCAGAATGACGTCTAGTCTAGCATGTGTAACTTTACACTTTTGTGTCATCTCTTCTCTGTACCTGCAGCGTTTCATCCAGTATCTGGCCTCAAGAAACACGCTCTTCAATCTGAACAATTTCCTTGACAAAGGTGCATTGCAAGGTATGTAAGAAACACCTTTACTGTCTCTAAATCAGTGTATACACACATACACTGATGATAAACCCCTCGTTCTGTCCCTCAGGTTATGACATGTCCACATTCATCAGGCGGTACAGCAGATATCTCAACGAGAAAGCTCTTTCCTATAGGCTGGTGGCTGTGGACTTCACCAAGATGAAAAGAGGGTGGGTAAACCTCACTTCTGCCTGGAGTCAAGATTGTTTTCAAACACATTGTCTCAGCAGGACACAATCTAATCATGCTAGCTCATTACTCCGATAATTAAGTTGTTTTTAAAAGCTGATTAAGTAGTTTATTTTTTTAAAGCGCTAATTAAGATTGCGAGTAAGTGGCGAGTACTGATTTGTTTGTTTATCTGTTTATGGAGCAGTATTGATGGAGTCATGCGCACCATGAACACAGAGAAGCTGATCAAAACGTTGCCTATCATTCAAAACCAGCTGGACGCACTGCTGGATTTCCAGGTTTGTGATGGAGAACATGCATAAATGCTTTAAAACTTCCTAGTGATTTTTCTCTTGCCATTGTTTTACTAGTTATATGCTTCGTAACCCCTATTTAAAAAAAAAAAAAAATGCATGCAGTACCATTCAAAAGATTGGGGATTTTTGAATTCGTTTATGCTCACCAAGGCTGCATTTATTTGTTAAAAATACTGTACAAGCTGTAATATTGTGAAATAACATTATTACAATTTAATTGAGCTACTTTTTACAGAAGCGTATTGCGTTCACTTGAGGAAAAAAAATCTACTCTGTTTTTCTGAATTAACGAGTTAATTATCTCAGAATTACGAGATACATTTTTTTTTATTTTTATGAATTAATGAGTTACTCATAATTTTGAGATAATTAAGTAATTAATTCAGAAAAACAGAGCAAAAACTTTTTTCCATGAAACATTATCTCAGAATTCTGATATAATTGACTTGTTAATTAAGAAAAATGGAGCAGATTATTTTTCCTCAAGTGAATGCAATACGCTTCCGTAACTTTCTATTTTAATAAGCTAAAGTTTAATTTTTTTCTCATGAAGACAACGCAGAATTTCAGTGTCACATAATCCTTCAGAAATCATTCTAATTTGCTGATTTATTATTATTATTAATTGTGAAAATAGTTATTTTTCCCCTATTTTTGCATTTATTAAAAGAGAAATTTGACGCATTATAAATATTTATACTCTGTTTTTCAATTTGTTTAATGCATCCTTGCTGAAATATTAATATCTACAAAAAAATGTTTTACTGACCCCCAAAATTTTAACAGGAGTGCATATGAAAATTCAAATCTGTGCAGACAGAATGCATGAATATGTACAGTGTAAAAAGCTTCTTATTCTCTTCTTATAATGAAAGTGATTTTTCACTCTGTTTGAAAAGATGGGTCAGTGTTTACAGTGCAGATTATTTGATTACTCTTGTTATTGAACTGATAAATTCAAGTAGGCTTGGCAACCCTTAAGCCCCAGGTTGGAAAACCCTACTTTAACAGATCAACATTGATGTTGATTCAGTCCAAGCTATTTGGTATGATATGTACTCTCTCGTGTGGATGTGTGGGTGTGTGTCTGTAGGCTAACCCTAATGAGCTGACTAACGGAGTGATCAACGCTGCCTTCATGCTGCTTTTCAAAGACTCCATCCGTCTGTTTGCTGCTTATAATGAGGGTGTCATCAACCTGTTGGGTAAGAGTAATCTACTCCCTCTTACTCTAGAGAGTGCTCTTCTCTCACGCTCTGCTTTAGGGGTTAAGTCTTTGTGCTTTCTGAGCAAAGAATCGTGCAGTTGATGTTGGACCTCACTTTACGTGACATTGGTTCAACTTTGATTTTTAAAACGGAAAAACGAAATGGCTCAGAAAAGAAAAAATAACCACTTTTAAATATTGTGTCTGTGGCCCTGAGCAGACTGTGCACTAGACTACATTCGCCCCAATGGAAAGCATATTTACACTATCTGAATCGTTTCCTATCTTCTATATAAAATAGTAATAGTGTGAACAAGTGACTGATTTCAGCCACAGCTTCGACGTCTGTTTTGATTCTAGAGAGCATTTGATTGGACAAAAAATCTGATGAGAAGCTGAAGTGCTGGGGAATGTCATCAAAATTGTGGAAGTGAGAGACTGTACGTTTTGAATGCTTAAATCTTCTAAATGCAAATTTTGTCATTGTTTTGGAGCACATTAGCTTATAGATAACCTTAAGGCTAACATATTCATACTAAAAGCCAAAAAAAAAAAATCCATTTTGATTTTAACGGGACTTTAATAACATAACGATTGTTATTGTTGGTTGCAATGATTGTACAACCTGTACATTTCTGATAAAACAAAAAGAAAAATTATCATAGGTTTTAGGGTTTCATGACCCTTTAATGAAATTAGGTCAGATCTTAGTTTTTTAAGCTCTCTGTTTGAGCTCTTTTATTTAGTCGTTAAGCCAGTCATTTTTCCGTGATTTTAATTATTTTGTTTTATGTTGTAACATATGGCGTTTAGGTTGGTAATTTAAAAAGGCATTCGAGTGCTAGCTGTCCTTGAGCGAACCATTACAACAGCTTTTATATGCCCCTGTCTCAGTCAGCCCAGAGTGTTTTGACAGTCCTCTGATGGGTAATTGCAGTCTTTATCTATTTGAGTCACTCTGCTAATCGTTCTCTCTATTCTCTCTCTCTCTCTTCCCTTTTCCCTTTTCAGAGAAATACTTTGATATGAAGAAAAACCAGTGTAAAGATGCTTTGGACATCTATAAAAAGTTTCTGTACAGGATGACCAAGCTGTCAGAGTTCCTTAAAGTGGCTGAGGTACCAATGAAACACACACACACACACACACACACACAATCAAGGGTATTTTGATATGACAGGTCTGACTTTAGAAAGGCTGTCTAGCCCCTCTGCCCGCTCTCTCTCTCTCCCTCTCTCTCTCCCCCTCCATCTCTGATATCTCTCTCTATCCCACAATGCTCTGGCATTCATTTTCTCTGGATGGTTGCATGCACAGAGACCATATTTAGTGTTGCGGCACTGCATTACATTGCCTTGCACAATCCTCATGGACTGTGCCCATAAGCATATACATGTGCCTTCTCTGCAAAAAATGGTTGGTTGTCACTGCATTTCATCCTTCGTATGAATCGAGGATAAATGGACATTGGATAAAAACAGACTGGAGTCAGCATTATATAGTATTTAGGGTCTCATATGATATTCACCTTGATTTGATATTGTTATATATCTGATATAATGAAAAATGTAAAAAAAGTTTCTGAAATTAAAGAGATTTATAATGTTACAAATGATTTCAATTTGCTAAATATTTCTAATTACTATTAAAATATTTTTTCAGCTTTAATAATAAGCGACACTGAAGAGTAAAATTCAGCTTTGCCATCAAAAGAACAAATGACTGTTTCAAACATTAAAATTAAAATAGAAAACCATTATTATATATTGTAATATTTCACAATATAGATTTTATTACTCTATTTTTATCAAATAAATACAGATTTGGTGAGTGTAATAGACTTTCAAAAAGAACCCAACCCAATGTAAATTCACCCCCAGCAATTTCTACAATCTGAATCCAGTAATCATGAGCGACTGTAAAAGCTATATTTGAAAGTGATTGGTCCAAAAGTGCGGGAACACTGCACATGGATTGTACCCCACTAAGACTGCTGTATACAGTGTGGTAAGATTTGTTATTTGTCTCCTGCCATTCATACTGTGGTCATTGATGGCTGTCTTTCATACTGTGGATTCACGTGGCTGAAGTTGAGACCTTTTAAAGTTTCAGTGTCCTGTCTCTCTCCTTCTGGCCCAGAAGAAGATCTGTTTTTATAGGACTCTCCCTCCCTCTTCTCTCTCTCTGACACTGATGAATTTCCATGCTGCTGCCTTCTTTCCCACAATTCCCAGCTCCGTTCATTCAGCCAGCCGTTAGACTGTCTGGTTTATTTTCAGACTCGCTGTTCTTCTTCTGATGCATCAGAAATCTCAGGGAGTTGATTTGAAAATGAGTCCGTGTCCATTCCAATGTAAGATGATTGTCTAATTTGCTGTTTTACCCCCATTGGGTCTCATTTAAATGTCATCATTTGTCAAAATTGTTTTTGAATGTTAACCACTCCACACGGCACAGTCAGCCGTGTGAGATCTTATCAATGTCTGTGTCCGTTCCCATTGGTCCTCCGTGGCTCTCGGCATGCCACACCACTGTTACATTTATTTCTATCATTTTTGAGTCACTGCATGAGGTATTGATCCGTTATGTTTGTTCTTTTTCATATTTTTCCCCCCTCCCCCTCGTTTATTTGTTTGTTTACCTTTTTTGTTGTTGTTTTGTTTATGACACAGCAAGTTGGGATTGATCAGGGTGACATCCCAGATCTCACTCAGGTCAGTGTACATTTCATCTCCACTTTCTGTTTTTCCCTCTTCTTCCTCACTATGCTGCTGCTGTGTCGTCCATCACACCAACGCTCTCCCTTTTTTCTTTCCTCTCTGTGTTCCCCCTGTCTTCGTCCTATCTCTTGTTGTCTGATGTGCTGTTTTTGTACCCATGCTCACTGTTATTTAGACGTTTTCTCTTGTGTTTGGTTTTCAAAAGTTCGATCAAATATCAAACACCTGTGTCTGTGTTTAGTTCCCTTTCAATGGTGTGTTTAGTGATGATCACACTATTTCAGTGTAGCTTTAAGGATCTACACTTGATATCTGTGTTTGAATGTGTTGACATTACAGAGCGGGGTTAACACACTGAATGAAAGGTTATTTCCTTGTTTGGTAACACATTGTTTATTGTTCCTTTCAGACGACTAGAGGATCTTACCTTGTAGGTGGTGGGTTATTTGCACTGCTTGTATTTGACATAATCTGGGCTAATACTAGTGCTGGGTGATAAATCAAACATTTACCACATATTAAAAATGCTGTTAACCAGCATTGTTAAAATGTGTTAGTGCTAGGACAAACTAGGTAATCCCAAGAATCGATATTTTATTTCAGTTTGAATAATTTACATTTAATTTAATTTAAATCTTTATAAAAAAAATAGTTGAAACATACATATGTCATGAAAAAAATATTATTATAATGTTATTACAATAAAAGCTTCCTTATGTATGAATTAAATGTAAGTAGCCTACAAATCAGTTAATTTTAACCTTTAATATTAAAGTGATGTACCAATGGGGGTTACCTGTATAGTTTGCAGGATTAGTTGAGAGAATTTTTTTTTCCTTGAAAATTTGTCATGTATTGTATTGTACCTGATAGACCCCAATTAATCGATTTGAATCTAATCTAAGTTGAACCAATCGACGGCTGTCAATGCCCAGCCATAATATTTATGTTTATAAGAAAGCAGTTTTGCACTCATCCTAGGTACATAAATATGTTAATATTTTAACAAAAATATTATAATACCATCTTTTGAATGAAACGAGGGGCATATAAAAAAAAATCAAACTGTGCCTTAGTTAAAAAATAAATTGATAAATATGCCTCAATGTTTCTGCAAAAATATTTGGGTTTGTACAGTATTTTTGTTTATGTATTGTTGTGCTACATAATATTGGAATGAGAAGAATGATTTAAAAAAAATATATAAATCAAATAATATAAATGCTTATTCATATAATAATAATAATAATTACTATAATTACTATGTAATATTGATTTAACAATTTAAATGTGTATGTATATGTAATATTATGTAAAATAATACAATCTATGAATAAGTAATACAAATGCATAAATGTATCTATTTGTTTATTATTTGTAAGTAATTTCTTAACTGAATTTTATTGTATTTTGAGTCTGAATGTTAATGGTTTGGTTGAAATAATTATTTTGTAAATGAAAAGTCACTCATTTAAGAGCCAATACATACAGTATATATTGAGATATCACCAAATGGTAAATATTGAGTTAACTTTTTTAGTTATATCTCCCAGCCCTAGTTTGTTCCTGACTGCATCAGCAGATTCATCCCTTTAAAACCAGACTAACTGATTAAATGTGTCTCAAACTGCCATCTTCTGCCCTGTCACTTTGCAGGCATGGCTGTACGTCGCTATTTCTGCTGATCTGAGACCAGACTCACAGTTGTCTCTTTATGGTTTGATCAAATCGTTGGCTCAGATCAGCATAAAAGCAGATCTCCTGCTGGGTTGCATGGCGGCTTCGTGCTTGTAAACCCCCTGGCCATCAAATTCGGTGAAGGTGGAGCTCTCTAGCACAGAGCTGCTATATGTTGTTTTTTTTCGCCTTTAAATGTGAGAACTGCCCCAGCGGCCTTCGTTTGTAGGATTGTGATGAAGTATTCATGTAACCTCACTTTGTCCTTAGCCAGCACGCACATCTATAATGTAGCTATTTAATCAAAAGCCTGTTCTCGTCATCTCTTCGAGGAAATCAAATCAGACAGGAAAGAAGCAAATTAAAAGCTGTTGCCCTTTCATCTCTTTTTTTATCTCACTTCTTTGGAAGTAATACACTTTCCCGCTTAGTAAAAATGTTCGTTTTCTACTTCTATTTGAATTGTAGACTGCTGCACATGTATTTTTCCTCTCTTTTGGCTTCTGTTTTCTGTGGGATGGATTAAACCCAAACTGTCCTCTCAGCGATGTGGAGAAAAAGCCAACCTAGATCAGATCCAGACATGTTGGCCAGCGCTGCCAGCTAGGCTCAGTCAAAGAGCTTACCTTCCCCTTAGTCCATAAGAGCAGTTTATACACGATTTGTCTGTTCTGGAAACTTGGCTCAAAGCACCTGCTCTTTTCACCGACCGTGAGCTCTGAGCTTGTGCTAACATTTACTCTCATTTGAATGAAGCAGCACGAGGTGTGTGTGCTCTGCTCTTAGGTGCTAACATACACATTCCGTGTTTGCTGATCTGGATTGTTTAATGATTCCTCATGTCATTAAGATAATTATTTTCGGAAACTAAATCCTAGAACGGTATAAAAGGCTCAGAGGAAGGTTTTAGTTTGATTTGCGACTCAAAACACAAGAATGTCTCGCAGAAATCCTGAAGTACTAGTTCCAAAAGCCAGTGTAAAGCCATTTTAGTGATTTTTATATTGGTGACCTCATGGGTCTGTCGTGTGTCTGAGGTTTGGATTTTCAAGTGTGCATGCCACTTCCTCTCTTTTTATATTTGTACTTTTCCTCTCTCTTGTTTTCTGAGCTTGTTTATCCTTTGCCTGTACTCCTCTTCACAAAAGCTTAAAGCATGCTCCTGTTTTTATTTGCTGAAACTTGGGTTGATCGAGTGGGTGTGTGTGTGTTAAGTGTGTTTGTCGTGAGTGTGTGAGTGAGTGTCGTACTCTTTAAACCGGTTGCTGTGTGTTTTTGTTGAGTTCTTGACTCGTCTTTTTTCTCCTGCAGGCTCCCAGCAGTCTCCTGGAGGCTCTTGAGCAGCACCTGGCCTCTCTGGAGGGAAAGAAAACCAAGGAGCTCTCCGCTGACAACAGGTTCGAACCGTACAGATCCAAACAAACCAGAATCACTTTGGATATTCTGTGAAGTAATTGTCTACCAAATAAAACTACCACGCATTTGAAAGGTTCATAAAGACTTTGCAGAATAAATCCATATGAATTGAGCTGTTAATCCAAGTCTTCTGTACAAACACGGCTGCTTTGAACAGGTTTAATTTAGGCTTTGATACACACTACAATCTCATCAAATATGGTAAACACACACTCAACTGCGCTGACATAATGTGCGAGAACCAATGAGGTTCATTCTTGCGCATGAAGCATGCATGGTTGACCTTCCATGTTTACCATATTAATTAATAGATGGGTAAAAAAGGGTTGAATTACTTGTATGAATTAATTGTAATGAACAGAGATTAATTGTAATGAACAGAACCTAGCAAATCTAACATTCACTGATTTTTATATGTATATATATATCTAAGAACTGTAATGTTTTCTTGGTGGTACCATGTGTTTGGTTTTCACTTTGCACTGCTATTGATCATAAATATTGCGAATTAAAGTCACTTGATTGAATAATATTAATTGAGTGGCAGGCTTGTCATAAAATAACATATAAGCGTCCCATTTTGTGTCAAATAAAACCGTTTTTTTTAGGCAATTAACTTTCTTTTAATTAGGCTAATGGCATCACAGTTATCTCAACATTTTAAAATGGAAAAACAAAAATATGTAGTCAAATTTAAGATTCTGTATGCCACCTGATACTGGAACAACTATGATTAGTAAGAGATTTATATATAGCCACATACTGATTTCTTTTGGGGTTGTGGACGGTGTTAAATTGATCAGGTCTTAAAGAAATGAAAGGGAAAACTCACTTCTGTGTGGATTTATTTATTTTTTTGTCTGCAGAGCCAACACTCTGTCCAATGCAGTGTCGACCCTGTCCAACACCGGGATGTCCTTCTCCTTCTCATCCAGCAGGATGGACGAGAAGGAGAAGCAGCAAGCCCTGGAGGAGGAGCAAGCCCGTCTGCAAGCACTCAAGGTAGGCCATGACTTCTCCCATTATTTTCTGTGAATGAACATGTTCTCTTCTTGATTAATTATACACACACACACACATATATATATATATATATATATATATATATAAAGATTATACAATATATGCATATCCCAACTCCTCTTAGAGAAGGCTGTTTCAGCCGAGATTTGGCTGGGTTGGAGCTGCTGTTCTGGGAAAATTGTGTCCTACACATACATGATTGTTTATACAATACGCCCTTGTACCTTCAATGATTAGCCTCCAGCAGTAAGTAGTGAGCGAGGTTAATCAAACTTCTTTGTCCCCATCAGGAGGTACTGTCATACCTCGCACAATGTACAATGTATCCCCAGATGCACTGTGGCTCCGTACATTCAGAGCAATTTCAAAGTCCAACATCAAAATATTTACACAGCCCATGTTCAAATAAGTTTGTGTGAAATTGAACTGGTGTTTCTTGGTGATTTTATTGTTTTCTCAACACTCCTGGAGGGGCAAGTTTTCTTGCTACCGCTTTCGCTTTCTGTGTGTTATTTTCTTTCAACATTTTGTCAGTGTTGTAAAGGGCATATCAAAAGGTATAAAACCTCAACATGTCACAACCTCCTTCCTCTCTGTTTAGAAAATCTAGGACTGGAAACAAAATCAGTTTTTCTTGTTAAAGATTGCAATTTTAAATGAGATTTTAAATGAATAAAAAAGCTCCAGGTTTGCTGTGATTATTTTTAAGGCTGCATTTGGCCAAATATATTGTGTTGATATGACTATAATTAATAATATTAGCTATTATTATTGTTGTTGATGCATTTTTAAGACACTGGGCAGCATGGACAGACTTTAGACCAGACATGACTCTAGGTTTTACTTGATCTAAAAGCAACTCAATTTACTCTAGTGACTTGCTTGGCTTGAAATAGTCCAACATATTATTGATTTGTGACTTTTCTTGTTCTTTTCATATGGTTGGTTTAGGCTGTTCTAGTTTCTGTCAAGGGAAGTGACTTGGGAAATCTTTTTATCTCAGCCATTTCTTATCCACCTCTTTCCCACGCCCCATGATGCTTTCCGCGAATTATGGGAGTAACTTCCTTTAAACTATAACAATCAGTGAAAGGCTCGCTCAATAAACCCCTTTTTTTCAACAGTTGGGTACAATGAGGTAACATTATTCTGCTCACCTTTTAACCATCAAACATAAAAAGGAAACTTTAAAAGTGTAAAAGCGTTATATTATTCTTCTGATGTCTGAAAATAAAACATGAAGGTAAATTGACAGCTCATTTAGTCAAACTGACCGATAAGGATTATTTTTGGCGCAACATCATAATTTGTTTCAGTCTTTTTGAGTAGAAGTTCACCAATCCAAAAGTACCTCCCATAATTTAAAACGCAACATGGTCGTCAAGAGAATGGTGGATACAGCCACAATACAGACCCACATCTGCCCGAGTTGCTGTAATCTGTCTGATTTCACAGAGCTCAGATAAGGAAATGCTCGGTGCTGTCCTGCTCTACAGTGACCATTACACAAGTATTCAGCCAAACAGCCCAGTCTTTACATACTTCACATTCTCTGTCAATGTTTTTTCCTGTGTTTTGTGTGTTTGTATAGAACCAGCGTCTGAAGGAGATTGGCATACACACCCCCTCCGCCTCCCCCAGCACACAGTCTATGGGCAGTGTCAACAACCATAATGCGGGCATGGACCTTTTCACCAACACCACAAGCCCACCCTCAACCAACAGGTCATTGACATACTGTACATGATTGCAGCAGATATTATTCCATACGATAATACAAAACAATATGTATGACACACAGCATAAACACATAAAAAAAATACATGTACACATTGTACAAAAGTTGAATTTATACACTGCATTTGGATCTTTTTGGTTTGGTGGCTGGTTTAAACTCTGTTGGCATCATGAATCTCGTGATTGTTGTGGGAGTCAGCCTCGCTGATGATGCGAGTTGGTTGTCTTAAGATGTGGACAGGTGGTCACGACCCAATCTTTTCACCCAGTTTGACTTTTAATGCATTTTGGAGGTGTTTTCTGACTCTAAGGTGCTCAGTAGTGCAATCCAAATGTGCCATTGGTGAGAATGAAAAAGCCTTGTGCAGTGCTCCAGACAAAAAAAATTAGAAAAAATAAAAATTAGAAAAAAGCTATTGCCTCCTAGAAGTGGAAAAAAATAGGCGCCCAATTATTTTTTTAAGTGCAACAAAAGAATAAGCGTGTTTTAATTTTGTCATGTGTTGTCACGTCTTGTGGATGTCCTAGAAACTAAGATTCACTTAAAGTAGGGCCTGAATTGCTTTTCCAGCTTGAGAACTACACAAAGTTACAAATAATTGTTCTTTTCTACAGAATCGGAGCTATTATTGAATTAAATTTTTAGCCCATTCCATTCTTTCTCATATTTAAGTATAAGGATTATGTGATATATAGTGCATATATTTAGCAAAATCCCCCTTTCTATAGTTATTTTTCTAGCTGATTAATGAGTTTGAGCATGGCCTTTTTGAGGTAAAAAGTTCTCAAGTTGTTTTATACAAGCTCTTTGCAAGGTCGAAATGCTGTTTGTCTGATCTGTCAAGACATTTAAGAGCACCAAAACTACATTTATTGCTTGTATTTTGGGATGAATTTTGTGATGAAATTGACAATTTGAAAGCTGAAAGTTTATTTGTTTACTAAATTTAAACACATTAAAAGTGGCACATTAAATGTGACAGTTAAGTATAAATCTTACTGCGATTATGGATGACTGCGCTACAAATAATGCGAAGTTCAGGCAGTAACAGAAAACAGCAAAGATTAAAAGATATTTAGGATAAGAATTCATATCAGAATCAATTATAAACGAGAATTGTGGACAATCTCGTCCACACAGCTGATGTTTATCTGTTGTAGTTTATCCACGTTTTGCGCACGAAATAGATGCTGCCTTAATGCACTTTTAGAGTACTTGCGTGTTCATTCATTGACACGTTGTTTTCTCTCACGCTGGCTCAGCCGTACTTTGAAAGAGCCTGATATTAACATGCGTTTGTGTCACGGAAAGCTGATATTCGCTGTCCCCGTCTGTATTTTGGCTGGTAAAAGGCATGCAAGTTAAATGTAGTCTGCATTCACTAAGTAAAAAGGAGATCACTGGACACTTTTTGTGAGAAACCCCCCCAGCTTCTGCTTCAGATTCCTTCCCAAACCTTACCAAGCCTTTTACAGAACATATACAAGACTGTGAAGCATTTTTAGGTGCTATACAGTACATGAAAGAAAGGAGGGAGTTCTAGATGTTGACTACTACAGAAAAAGGACACAGACGTCAATACTTGCTGTTTCGATTGTCTGCCTCTCTTGAGTAAATTGATGAAGCCACTTGGCCTGTTGGTGCAATGTCTTAACCAATAAAAATCCAACTACAGTCCAGTTGCTTTTGACATTGAACAATAATCTAGGTTATGATTTCTCAAACTGGGGGAGCGCTGTCATACTATCGATATATACACTATCGTTCAAAAGCTTGGAGCAAGTAAGTTTCTTTAAATCTCCCTCACCAAGGCTGCATTCATTTAATCAACAATGTGGTAAAAATGATGAAAACGTTATCCCAATTTAAAATAACTGTTCTCTGTTCTCTCTATTAGCTAAAATTTTATTTATTGTGAAGGCATAGCTGAATTTGCATCAGTCATTTTTCCAGTTTGGTCACATGATCCTTCATAAATGATTCCAATATGCAGATTTGGTGATTATTTATAATGGTTCTCATTATTATATTTGTGGATATCGGAATACATTATATCAGGATTTTTTGATGAATAGAAACTTTAAACGAATTGTTTTTATTTGAAATGGAAATCTACACTGTAAAAGTTTAATGTATGCTTGCTGAAATAAAGTATTAATATCTTAACAATTAGAAATAATTTAAAACTTATTCTCATCCCAAATTTTTAATGCTGTGTCTTAATGTTGCTTATAAGTTGTATTATAAGACCTTCAAATAATTTCACTACATTTTTTATAAAATAGCATAAAATACTGCAATATATTTACAGAATAATCACAATCTCTGTGGTAGTATTTGAATGTATTACTTTTAAACTAATTTCCTTTTTTTTCCCACAGCATGCCAAACCTCACCAGTGACTTGTTTGACCTCCAGCCTGCCTTCGTTCCTGCAGTGCAGAGCGCTCCTATCTCCAACAGCAGCAGTGCCTGGGGAGGTGCGGCCCACTCCACCCACACACACACCCCATCACTAATGCCGCCTCTGTTGCTTTACCACTTTAGATCGCTGACCTTTAATATAGTCCCAGAAAAATCATTAGAACAGATCAATCCTTTGTTAACTTGCAGTAAATCTTCGTTTAATTATTTGTTCGTTCACTCCCAAGTTCATTCCTATGTACATTGTCTGTTTCAAATCCTTACAAGCTGTATTTGTGTCCCCTTTACCAAGTGCTGCCATGAGCCCTTGAGTGTCCTCCACTTTTTTAATGTTTTTGAAAGAAAGAAAACTCTTATACTCACCAAGGCTGCATTTCCAGTAAAACAGTAATATTGTGAAATATTACAATTTAAAGAATGTTTTTATATTTGAATATTTTACTATTTAATTTATTCCTGTGATGACAAAGCTGAATTTACAGCAGCCTTTAATCCAGTCTTCAGTGTCACATGATCCTTCAGAAATCATTCTAATATGCTGATTTCTGCTCAGTTATTATCAATAATTGTTGGCGCTCAGTTTTTAATAATGGCTCTTACTATGCTCAATCTTAACTCTGATTCGGCTGCTTAATATTTTTGTGGAAACCGTGATGCTTTTTTTTCAGGATTCTTTGAGTAGAAAGTTTTGTAATAATAAATGACATTTTTAAGTAATTTGAAATCGGTTCTTTAAAATGTTAATAATATTTCACACTATTTTTGTTTTTACTGTATTTTTGATCAAATAAGTGCAGACTTGGTGAGTGAGATTCTTCTTCTGAAAACATAACTCTTAATTATTCCAAACTTTTGACAGGTAGCGAAATGTCGTCTAGACTGTTGGGTTGTAGTGTGCAGTGGTGTTTGGTTTGCAAAAATGCATAATAAGAGTACATCACGACCACAAAGGGAGCACTCTTCTTGTTTACGTGATCACAAATGAGACACCTACAATTTTGGGGACTTCACGAAAACACTTGAGGACAGTTCTGTAGGAATCATTTTAGAGCATCGTAGGCCCAGTGATGTCTAGATGAGCAGCTGGCTAGGATTTGCAACCCAAACTGTGTTTTTGTGTGTTCGTTTTTTATTCCTCGTACCCATCCATCCTATTGTGCCGGTTTAGATCAATGTTTTATAGATATTATGAAGCTGACCGGTTTGGGTACCATTACGCTGAGGAAGTATCTCTTCGGTTGGGAGCCTTGCTTAGTGTCAGAAGTTCATTTTCAATAGTTCAGCACATCTGCTGGGATAGTGTGAATTGAGGACACAAGGTACAGAGTGTAGACACACTGCCAGACTCTTAACTATGCCAGGATTTGTAGGTCACAGCATGCACTTGGAGCGTACGCTTTACAGCTAGTGGGCAGGTGCGCCGAGGGCTAGCCAGACGCACAATGAGATTCAGGCCTCTAGAGACCCACCTATAGTACCAACAGTGCAAAGACACCCCAATGTAGACAGATGGAGGAATGAGGTGTTTTTTTAAAAAAAGGGGGGGGAAGGACTGCTGAGTAATGAGCAGAGGAGTGAGAAAGAGCCACAGGCACAGATTTAAGCTGTATATTGTTATTTACATTAGAAATTGTGCAATAACTATAGGAATCCACTGCATTTTTGGCTGTCTGAAGCACTTGGGCTTACCGAAAATGGTATTTAATAACATTTTCAGACAAAATTGGATTGGCATTCTTGGATGGATGGAAACTGTTATCAGAAACTTTAATATATTGGATACAGTATGCATGTAAAATGGTCCAGGTTTAACTGGGCTACACATTTTCTATTGCTGTTATTTAGATATCCAGGCAAAAATACATAAAATCACTTTTAAAATAGCTTGTGCAAAAACTACAATATAACAAGATTAATATTGGGCCATTTTAGATCAACAAGCCAGTGATTTAATAGGCCATATCATTACTCCGATTTTATTTTGATGAATTGTGCATCTCTAGAATCAATTTAAATGGTGGATCATCTCTTATATATTGCCAGAAAAGAAGTCATGAACACTACCGTTTAAAAGTTTGGGGACGGTCATAAATCTCTTACTTTTTTGTTGTGCTGCTTAATTGTTTTTTGGAAACCATAAAATATATATGAATTTTTTCATGATTCTTTAATGAACAGAAAGTTCAAAACAGCATTTATTTGAAGCAAATCTTTTGTAACTATGAGTCTGAATCTGTCGGTATTAATATTAAATCACCCTAAACTTTTCAACGATAGTATACAAACGAGACATGCACATACTGGCTATAATATATGTTTGGAATTTATTTTAATTTTGGTGCAATTATGATTGATTAGTTAAATGATTCATTGATTTATTTTTCCCCTTCCATGAAAATCAATAGAATGTCAAGGAAATTTTGATAGGGAATTGCTATGCAACATTTTCTATCCTATATTCCAATAATCTCAAATGTCTGAAAAAGTCATGGGAGTTTAGTGGTCAAAAGATGAGGAAACAGTATCAGGTATTTTGCAGAGCGACAATCCAAATGTGTTGTATGACATCTGTCCATGTTTTGTGTGTGTGTTACTCTCAGGTCTAGAGAGCAGCACTCTTCATCCCATGGCTTCCATTCCCACCATGAATGTAGATTTTGATGCTGTATTTGGGACTAAAGCTTCCAATAATGATGTGAAGCCATCAGCTGGTAAAATATCTCACAAGTGTGATCTACTCATAACTGCGCTTATTAATCTTTAAAGGTTTGATCCTTGCTGTGGCGCTTAATATCTGCAAAACTTAGTAACCTTCACCCAGAATAAATCTCTTCTGCTGGTTTTGCTGTATGGTGAGTTTGTGGAGCTTTTGCTGCTGGAAAACTGAAACGAATTGTGCAGCCGGCTTCAGAACCTGTCCGCCATACTCGGTTCTGGAGAGATTGGGAATGTTCTTTGGGGAAACGCTCATGCTTTTTTCCCGCCACTTACTCGCTCACTTCGCTGCTCTGTGGCTATGGACGGTCTGTTATCATCCCCTCATCCATCCAGTGTGTGCGTATGTGTGTGTGTGTGTGTGTTAGTGGTGCTGACTGGCATTTTTCTCCATCTGTTAATCGCTTGTTACACTCCTTATCTGACACAGAACGCAGACTCACACTCATTTCCACTCACCAATATACTCTTTCTCTCTCTGTCCCTTTTCCTTCCTCTTTTTTTTATCTCTTTGGCCTCTATTTTTCTTACCTTTTGCTCTTTTTGTTTGTCTTCACCCACCCCTTTGTCTTCTTTTTTATTTGCTATTTCCTGGGTTGTAATGGCTGATCTGATGTGGTGAGTGTACTTTTTTCTTTTTTTTTTTGGCCTCCTTGTTCCTGCTGGCGAAGCAGGAAGTAGAACTGTATAAATATGGCATGTGTCAGCAGACTCTCTCTCGCTTTCTCTCATTTACTAAAAGAATTAGCAAAAGGCCCTGCGCTATTTACCATTTTAAAACCATCAGAGGCCTATTCAATTAATGAAACTGTTTGAGTTAACATGAAATGACATTCACAAAAGTGCTATTTTAGTATTGTTTATGTACAAATATAGTAGAACATTTGTTCATATTTTGAATTGGCTTTTATTTTTATACATTTTATAAATTATTTTTAATTTTGTTCATTTTAATTTTAAGTTTTAGCAATTGTCATTTATTATTAGCTTTTTCTATTTATATTTACAGTAGCTTTAATTGAAATATTTTCTATTTCTAATAAGTTTTTATAAGTTGAAGTTAATTTGTCTAATATTCACATTTTATTTAATTTCAGCTTTTACTTTAGTTATAGAAAATGATTAACTTGATATAAGCAAATATTCCGTATAAGACTTGATTTGGATATTACTTTATATAAGGTATTATTTGGATTATAAAAAGTGGACTATCTATATTCACATTTACATTTATTCATTTAGCTGACGCTTTTATCCAAAGCGACAATATGTCAGAGGTCGCACGCCTCTGGGGCAACTAGGGGTTAAATGTCTTGCTCAGGGACACATTGGTGTCTCGCAGTCTCTCACACCAAAGGCATGTGTCTTATCCACTGCGCCATCACCACTATATATAAATGTAGACAGAGCTGATAGTTTGCAGTCAATTGGGATGTTAAATATCAAGTTCATGCTGCATTACATACAATAGAAGTCCAAAACGAAGCTTAAATATCTACTGGTTAACATTTAATCAATATCCTGTGTGACCTGTGTGATGTCAGCCAAAAAGGAGAAATCATTTAAGATTTATCACATTTGAATGAAGATTACAAATACATTTTTTCACCGATTAATCATGCCCAATAAGACCTGAAACATGTAATAAGAAGGTAAATGGGGCCAATATTTTGTTTTCATGTTGAATTTTAATGCCTCAATAAGAAGAAAAGGGGATGTCATACATTTCCAGTTTCTTTAAGGACCCCCGCCATGTTATTTCCTCTTAGATCTCTGTGTGGTTCCTCCCATCCTGACCTCATGTTCTACTCTACATCTCTGTGGGTCTTTTGTCATGCCATGAGTGGCCTCACAGGGGCTCATCCCCGCTGCTCACATCATTATAAAGATCAGCAGGACTTTCAGCAGGACAGCACACTTTCTCTCTTCCTACTCCTGTCTGTTTGCTCTATAACACTTATGATCTAACCAGCCCAGTGCAATAAGTTTCCAGCAACTAGCAATTTATGTGTCCATACTGAAAGCGTTACAGATACTCAGTGTGATATTTTCACTTCCATTGAGAGTGTATATGACATTTCATGTACAGTTATATTGAGTTGTCATGCGCTGATCCTGTTTTTTCGTTCCCAAGACCAATAGAATACAGAACTCTGATCTGATACTGCTGTTCATCTGTACGAATTAAATTTGATCCTTTTCGGTGCTCAAAGGGTTAGTTCACCCAAAAATGAAAATTCTGTCACTATTTACTCACCCTCATGTTGTTCCAACCCCGTAAGACCTAATTAAAATTACAAATTAAGATATTTTTGATGAAATCTGAGAGCTGGATCACTCCTGCATACTAGTCCATAGGCTTCTTGAGGAATTGAAACTTGCCGGCCTCGAAAAGCTATTAAAGACATCGTTAAAATAGTCCAAGTGACTACAGTGGCTCAATCTTAACTTTATCAAGCGACGAGAACACTTTTTGTGCTCAAAAACACACAAAAATAACGACTTTATTTCAAATATTCACTTCCTTCTCTATGGGCCTCTAGTCAGTTAACGTAGTGTGATAGCGTACAGCTACATCACACGTAGGCTCACTATTGGCCGACGCTGGTCATGTGTGTGATGTGTGTGACTTACAATAACAGAAGCATACATTATTAAACTAGTAACCTGACTCGAGGCAGAAAGAGAAGTAAATGAATAGTTGAAATAAAGTCGTTATTTTTGTTGTTGTTTTTTGCGCACAAAAAGTGTTCTCGTCGTTTGATAAACTTACGATTGAGCCACTCTAGTCACTTGGACTATTTTAACTAAGTCTTTAATAACTTTTCGAGGGCAGCAATGTTCAATCCCTCAAAAAGCCTATGGACTAGTATGGAGGAGTGATCCAGCTCTCAGATTTCATCAAAAATATCTTAATTTGTGTTCCGAAGATGAACGAAGGTCTTACAGGGTTGGAACAACATGAGGGAGAGTTTTCATTTTTGAGTGAACTAACCCTTTAATCGTAACAACCACGTCTAACACACAGTAGCGAATTTGGTTTGGTCAAGTCTAACTGATACCTAATTCATTAAAAAAAACCTCAACTCCGCAGAATTGGTAACCAAACGTATAATCAAATCTCCTTAATCGCTTTTATTGCTGGTCGCTTGATGTGTCGCTTCTGGTTAGGTGCCAGTCTGCTGCAAAAATCAGTGGCTTGTCACTCTCATAATACTTTAATGGATTCATCAATGGATTAATCAGTCTTTTTTTTTCAGGTTATGATGGGTTAGGTGACTTGTTGAAGCCCACAGTGACGGTTCACAGTCAGGTACCGGTCATGTCCCATCATACAGACAGTAAACTGCTGGCCAATGACCTGGACTCGTCTCTGGCTCACCTCGTTGGCAGTGAGTCCCTTTCCCTCGCAGTATTATTTGTCTGTTTGTGTGGCTTTCTTTATTTACTTGGTCATAAGTCCCTGACCTTCAAATTGCATTTGTGCTACTCAACTGAACAGAGAGTCAGCAGCCATATGGTGCTAGATGCTATGTGTGTGTGCTTAAGGGACAGAGATGAATTAAACCCAGCTTATGGGAAATGAATAGGTCTCTGATGCCTCCAAGTCTTCCAATATTACGCTGATGTGAGGCTGTTCTAATGGTCTCTCTCTTTCTCTCGCTCTCTTTTTAGACTTGCAGTTTGGGGGAACACTAGTCAAAAAGTGAGGATTTCAATTGAATTATCTGAATCATTTCTGGTTGCGTGCTTCAACCTGTTATAAGAGGAAGTGTCTAGCTTCTCTGACTCTCTTTGTTTGTTTGCATGCAGATCTGATATGCATTGGACTCAGCCTGGAGAGAAGAAGTTGACTGGTGGTACTAACTGGCAGTCAAAGACAATGAGCAGCACCACTGCCTGGAGCCCCGCCCCGCTGCCACCCGCTGCCATGCCACCTGCCGCCATGCCCATGCCACACATGGTGAGAACACACACATGCACACAAACACACACTAATATACAGCCATTATCATCTACATCTAAACATCCTTGCTCTACTGTTCAAAAGTTTGAGGCCAGTAAGATTTTTGAAAGAAGTTGCATTTATTAGATACAGTAATATTGTCAAATATTAAAATTACTTTTTAAAATTTTAAAAAGATTTTAAAATTACTATTTTCTGTTTTAATATATTATAAATGTTCATTTTAATGTATTATTTAGCATCATCTCTCCAGTCTTCAGTGTCACATGAAATCATTCTAATATGCTGCTTAGTATTTTTGTGGAGACCCTGATGCAGTTTTTCAGGATTCTTTGAGTGGAAAGTTAAAAAGAAAAGCATTTATTTGAAATATAAATCTTTCGTAACAATTTAGCAGTATTTACTGTCACTTTTGATCAAATTAATGCATCCTTACTGAATGATAGTGTTCATTTCTTACCGACCACAAAATTTTGATTGATTTCTGCAGTCAAATTGTTTTGGACAAATGACACTAAACTCTATAATTTACGAGGCAAATGATTTCCTACATCTCTGTGGAGTTTTTATTGTCTCTCATATCACACTAAATTCGATTTCTTCTCACATAACAAAAATTTCCACTCAATATTTTATGTCCATTTATTTATTAGTACTGTAGCCATTTAAGTAGGGTTGTAGCAAAATTAAGGGTCCTTATTTACTTCCTGATGTCTTGATCACCCTGTAACCGGATGACTGTAGATTTAACCAGTACTTAATATATACAGACATTCTTTTATATGTAAACGGATGTATTCTCTCACACACACACATAATTTCAACTAGTCTTAAACTTATGAACATAAAGGAATCCATCAGCTGGAAAGCTGAATTCACAGCAAATATCAATTTTTTTTTTCATTTAGATGTCTGTAGTATTGAGATGGCAAGTTCTACTCTTGTTTGCTATTATACTATATTGTGTATTTTCAGGAAATATGAGTGAGTGTGTAAACTTCCTGTTCTCAAGCTGTGTGTATTGATCCAGTCGGGCAGGTGAGGTGTTAGTGTGTTCTGAGACAGGAAGGAGATGACGAGATGATTTAGCTGTTTACATGTGGTTTTGGCGCCTCGTCTGTCTCACTCAGGGCGTTCAGTGTCGATTGACCTCTGAACTGCATGAGTTGAGAGAGAGCAGATGTCTGTGAATGACTAACTTTCAATGTCTTTCTGTCTCCTTCCACCTTTCCTGTGGTCTGCATCTTTCTGGCTTGTTTCTCCCCGCGTCTAACATCTTCATCTCTCCTGTCTGTATGTTTCTGTCTTTCTCCCTATCTTCTTTCTTGTGCTTAACCCAGCAGACTGGAATGTTCTATACTAGTTATGTAAGTACCTCCTATAACTGAAAATTCTATTATCTTGAGTATCTTTTGAGAGGGATCGACTCTTATTCCCTCACATTTCTCTCTCTTTCACACTCTCCTTCTCCACACCTAATTTTTTTTTATGTCTATCTACACCTATTCAGTCTAATGAATTAAGTTTTCAGTAAAGTGAGATGGTGAAAATGGTTAGTTATTTAGAAAAGCTTGCCTATATGAACGAAAATGAAAACACTCTGGTTGTTCATGTGCTTATGAAGCAACACACAAGTCCTTGTCAAATTATAATGTTGTGATGCCTAAAATCATTTTTATAATTTAAAATGATTGGTTTTGACTGTTATTTTATCTATCTAGACAAAATAGTTATGTAGATTTAAACAAACTTAACATGAAACATCACAGCAGATTTTTAGTATAGGCGAATCCTTAACTAGTAATAATTATGGCAAAGCTGTTAATAATATGGTGCCTTGTTTTTTGCATTAGCTTGAGGTTGTTTACCACAGTGACTTTATATGTCTCATGAGACTAATTAAAAAACAATAGTTTGATGTCTCTGAATCTCTGGTTCCAGACCTTATGCCCCCAAAGGCAATTTTTACATTGTGTGTGAAGAGGTTGAAAATGGATACTCTGTGTGAATAGGCCTTTACACCCTCTTTTTCCATTTCATGCCTGATAAACACAGAAAATGTCATATGTTGATTTCCCTGTGACATATAGATGTTTGTTTGGTGTCTCTTGCCCTTTCTGTAGCATTTGATGCACCCATCTTTTGACTTGCAAACCAGACCTGTGCAAATGTGTGTGTTTGGGGACTGCATTTTACTTAACTTGCTTACGATTCAAAACCGATGAATACATGCTATATGCCAATGAGTAAAAATCCATGCTTGTCATGTCAAATGAGGTGTTAGGCTTTTAAGTGTATGACAGATATTCAGGTAAATAAGTGTTTTAGGGAAAACTCTTTCAGACATACAGTACCATCCGAAAGTTTGGGGTTGGTAAGTTGTTTTTTAATGTTTTGGAAAGGCTGCATTTATTTGATCAAAATTTACTATTTAAAATAACTTTTCTACATTGATATACATTTTAAAATGTAACAATTTCCGTTGATGCAAAGCTGAGTTTTCAGTATCATTACTCCAGTCTTCAGTGTCACATGATCCTTCAGAAATCATTCTGATATGCTGATTTTCTACTCAAAAAGTATTTCTTATTATCAATGATGAAATGAGTTTTGCTGCTTAATATTTTTGTGAAAACCATGATTGATTCGATTAATTGAAAGTTCAAAAGAAAGGCATTTATTTGAAATAGAAGTCTTTAGTAAGATTATAAATGTCCTCTCTCTCACTTTTGATCATTTTAATGCATTCTTGCAGAATAAAAGTATTAACTTTTTTTTTATTAAATCACACTGACCCCAAACTTTTGAAGGGTCATTGTTCAGTGAAACTTTTAGTAATAGGAATGTGTCAAATCATATATTTTTGCTCCAGTGTTGCATGTGTTGAATGGACCAGTCCAAGCTTCCCTGACCTGTCGTGGGTACAAAAGAGTGCAATTAAACCAGATCTTTAAATGAACCTGATTAGTGAGCACAATGGTGTTAAATGAGCATACAGTAGTGTTTGATCAGTATCTCGTTGTTCGCTTAATCAGTGCAGCATTGTTTGATCCGTCAGCGCATTGATGGTTGATTTGTGGCTTTTTTTTTTTTTTACCCACAGGCTCCTGCTCCCATGGCGTTTCCCATGACAACACCTCAAGTGCCTGTGTATGGAATGGTGAGCACTGTGACCTTACAGTGGCTACATGGATATTATGTAGATGAATTAAATGGTCAATGGCTGAAAAGAAGTTAACACTGGATGTTATGTTTGTGTGTGGATTTAGGTCCCTCCTCAGCTGGGACAGATGGGAGGGGTTCCAGTGATGACCCAACAACCCATGTTGTACAGCCAGCCTGTTCTCAGACCCACTAACCCTTTCACCCCCATCCCCGGAGCCCAGGTACACACACACACACACACACCAGTTAATCTACTTATTTCACAAACATTGGCCTCACATGCATTTTATCAATACATCAGTGCTCTAATAAAAAAAAAAAAAATCACATCGGTACAGTAGTTGTCTCTCAGTTGAAAAACAGACTGAAACTTAAAGGGTTAATTCACCCAAAAATGACATTTCTGTCATAATTTTCTGTCATAATAATGTCGTTCAAGACCTTTTTGCTGAAGATATTTTTGATACTTTCCGCCTGCCCCCATATACTGCAATGCAGGCCCAGAAAGGTTGTAAAGACAATAGTCTGTGTGACTACAGTGGTTCAACCTTAACATTATGAGGCGATGAGAACTTATTGTGCAAAAAAAAAAGAAGAAATGCTTTATTCAACAATTTATTTTCTTCTTTGTCAGTCTCTGACGCTGTTCATGTTGTAAACAATGCAGTACTTCCGGGTTCTACGTCAGAATGCCGGTGTTCTGACGATTCATGCTACCCATCGAGATTTGCTACTTATTATGCGCAGTAGAAAATAAAATAAAAACAGTAGTCTACAGTAGTCAGTAGTCTACAGTATACAGTAGCTACTCATAACTTAGAATTGTATTATAATTTCATACGACATTAATCTGCATTCTGTGATCAATTCGCGCTACGGTAGCATTTTTCGACAAGGCAGCAAAAATCGCCAGAACACCGGCTCAATATTGACCGGCTCCTGCGTCAGCAGCACACACTTAATTGAGAAATCTTGCATTGGCATATGTATTATGGGTGAGAAAAATAACATTAGGGAAATAAAAATGAATATTTGCGGTTTAATGTGTTAACCTTTGATCATATCAATTAACACATTCTTTTTTTTTAATTCCTGAAGTAGCTATGCTAATGTATTTAATTTTTAATATATGTCTTTCTTGCTTTTTTATTCTGAAAATGATTGTGTAAAGTAAACTTTAATAAGAGTTAAACATGATCTGAGCTGATAGAACATCTAGTTCACTCCAATTAAAAGTAATGTTTTGAATGTTCTGTAATTGTTAAATTATAAAAAAACAATCTGATAATTTGCAGTGTAGGTCTGGCTTTTAATTATACTGTAATGTCTATAATTACTCATTTTATAGCCAAAGATGGAAAGCAAATCAATTTAATAGAGGCATTAGTGTCAGTATTGGTATCACTGATACTGACATTCATTCATAGTACTTTGTAAAAAGATGCAATTTAAACAAATAGTTAATGTACCATCTTTATGTTGCTTCCATATTAATTTGGAGAGTCAATGTGAAAATGTTTAGAGATTCATGGTGAGATTTAATAACAGCCCTAGTATTCAATTCACATTTGTTTGTATAGTGCTTTTCACAATGCACATAATTTCAAAGCAGCTTTACAGAAAATAAAGTATTATTATTATTAAAAGTATTACCATTATGTTGTTATTTAAAATGTTAAATTAAGCATTGTTAAACAGCATATTAGTTTTCGTTGCGCTATTAAGAGTCATCACATTTCATTGGCATTATATTTAACCACTGCAAATTTGTATTGTGACAAACTAACACACACATACAGCTCCATGACTGTGGCAAGTACACAGATGCTCCATTAATGGACATTCATTACTGCTGCATTCACACTGTCATTACGGAGTGATTTGATGTTGTTTTCTTCATTTTTACAGATGCAGTTCATGTAAGCAGCACTTAAGCAGAGCGCCAAACAAGACGGCTGAAAGGAACACCAAGCAAGTGAGAGGAGGATCCGAATACCACCGGATAAAAGGAGAGCGAGACAAAAAGAAATAGTGCGCATATAGAGAGAAATGTGTTTGTGTCAAGAATGCTTACCTCACTGTCTGAAACGACTCACCCAACACACACTCACACACCCCAAATGAGAGTGCACACAATGTTTCATTTCTCATCTCTTGAGGTTTATTTCTTTCCTGGGGCACTGTGTCTACTGGCAGGTGTGATACATCATGGAAATCGTGGACTTTATTGCCGGTATTAAATTACAATGCACCAAGCACTCTTCTCCCCCCCCCACAATTAATATTAATTAAATCTGAAGCCCATTACAGTAACCGTGGACTTTATGGTACTGTCATCTTTTGCTGTGTTATGAAGATGCCTGTGCTGAGTTCAGGAAAATGGCGAATGTCGCCAAAGAAAATGCAGGTTGCTAGCTCATAAACGTTTGAATGGCTCATTTACACAATGCCCTGGCTTCTCACTTCAGAACAGAGAAGGAAAGAATTTGACCCATTATTTAAGGTGCTCTGTCTGCACCCCCAAGCACTTTACACATGCATGTATGTGTAACATAATATACAACATTGAGAGTGCCTCTTATATCTAGAACTTTTGTTGTCTAATGTTAACAATTAACACGTCTTACTGTTACTGATGGGTTCTGTGCAAAACAGCCTGTCAGTACTTCTTTGTTTATACTGGTTTTACGGGTTGTCGTTTCAGACACGATGGTGGTCTTGCACGCACGCACATTAACTGTTGTTACAAGAGCCCCCTCTTATTGGCCTCCCACCTTGTTTTGTCACTTCCAGGACACTGATAAACATATCTGCTCCTGCTCTTCTGTGTGTTATCCAAACATGCATGTATTTACGACTACATCTCACACTATGAGACCACTCCCACATGTACCGCCCACCCTGGGAGCAGGTGACCGGAAGCATAGGAGAAAAATCTGTTTCTTATAAGGTTTTTTTTTTTTTTTTAAATCTTTTTATTTCATAGAAAGCATGTTATCTATATTTCTTTCTTTTTTCATTATTATTTCAGAGAAAGACATGAATCTTGTTTGTTTTATGTTGCCAAATTATGTACATTTGTAATTCGAAAAATGCCGTAAGCTAGCTCCTGTACCCAGCGCCTGACATCACGATTCTGTCTGGTGTTTGCCAACTGTGGAACCAAAGTCAATAGCTAAAATCTACTTTTAGTCTCTTTCCGTACAGTTCCTCAAATTCGGGGCACTGTTAACAGGGTATCTTCATTTTTGCTTTTGCAGCCAAAGCATTTTCTATCCTCCTGTGATCCCTTTAACCCTTTATAGTGCAGGTTTCCACTCCAGCCTTTTACATCATCCCATAATTCCTGCTTTGTTTCTTCATGCTATGTTTAGTTTTTATTCAGCATGGATTGATGGAATGGCAGTGGAGATACAGTGTGGTTGCGGGTTGTGCCATAGTAAATGAAAGCAATAAGCCCTGTGAAGCCGTGATTTACAGTGATTTTAGAATCTCCAATCTGGGTTATGTTTAACAATGCCGCTTAGCTTTTCTAAAATCACTGTCAACCATGGATTCACATGGTTTTTATAAAACCGCTATAAAACAGGATTTAAATTTATTAATTTATCAAATAATCCTTCTGCCAAGCAATGAGCAATGTAGTTCTTGGTTCCACCTGTGATTAGCCTTTTTTATAAGAAAAAAAGTCACTCTTTACACCTGCAAGACATGATATAGAGCTGTTATGATATGTTTATAACAGGCAGTCATGTGTACATAGTTCTCAGAATGGTTTTTGGAATTTGTGCATTTATTTGCACCAGGTTAAGCCCACTTAAAAGGGTAGTCCACCCAAAAATGTTAATTCTGTCATCATTTTCTCGCCCTCATGTCATTTCAAACCTTTATGCATTTATTTCTTCTACTGAACACCAAAAAAAAATAAAATAAATAAAAAAAAAAAATATATATATATATATATATATATAATATAACAAACCATTTCGGTTCCCATTGACTTAGATTGTATTTTTTTTTTCATAGTCAAAACTGTTTAGTAACCAACATTCTTCAAAATAAAATCTTTTGTGAGAGAAAGTTATAAGGTTTGGTTGGAACGATATGAGGTTGAGTCTGCCCACATGAGTAGCCTACATTCATTTTTGGGTGAACTATACCTTTAAGTCTGAGTTTGACCCTCCAGCTGGTCAAGGGTGGTCATTGCGTGTGTGTGTTGCTAAAAAATCATCAGCACAAGTTCCACACCGTTGCTGTAATACGTGCTGTGTGCTCCCTTATGTAGAAACAATGTGCATCATGTTTCTCTGCTTATTTCTCTGTGTGAGTGGGTTACTAATTCCTTGTTGAGTGACTCTTAACAAGCTTGTGAGTTTATTCTCGTTTGAGCGCTGTCAGGGTCCAGCTGCTTCAGACCGAATGCTTTTTATATGCAGGCTCAGTGTTGTTGATACTCTCGCTGGGTTTGCAAGGTAACGGGGCACTGAGGAGCGATGTTGTTTAATTAGGATCTATTCTATTATCCCGTCACCGGAGGCTGTGTTTGTGTGTGCGTGAGCGAAAGAGTGAATAGATTGTGAGCTTCAGGGAGGGTGAAAGATCTCAAGATGTGCTAGGGTTCCATCATGAGCCGGGGTTTCCATGGTAATCTTCGGTTTCTGGTCCTTGACACATCCCGTTGAGCACAGCTTTTCCGCTTTTTTTGCTTTCAGACATATTTTGTCTTTTAAAACTATACTCTGCATGCATTAGCAGCCCTGCCTGTGGTGAAGGATGTGTCTTAAAATGCGCGTTTATTTGGCAAACTAAGAGAATATCGCTTAAAGATGCCCTTTTTTAAAAATAAAATACTTGGTTAGCCAAGTTAAACCAAGTTCAAGACTTCCATGTATATTTAGCATAACCCGGTCCCTACGTTCTTGCTCTCACAGCTCCCCCTTGTGGTCACTGTGTGCCATATTTCATATAAACAGCTGCTAGACTGTGACCCGAGTCTTTTGTTTGGTGTTTATGGGGCTGTTGTGCACACAAAGCAAATGTCTGAGTGTATTAGACTCACCTCCGCCAAATCCAGAGCACTTCTGAACTACTTAGCCTGATTTCATACGCCTTGGCTCGTCTCATTATCTGGACTGGGAAACTCAGCTCAGCAACGGCCTTTGAGAAACGATGAGTCAGCGTGTGCCACACGTCTTAGGCCTCTAGTGGGGATGCTTGGTGTTCAGGATCCTCTTCACCTTTGCGTTGTCATGGAGCTGTCGTTGGCTTTTTTTAGTGAACTGTTTGTCTGCTACTTTCATTGTTTCATACTTATTTTCCTGTTACAGAGATATATACAGTATATTTAGAAATATGTAATCAGTAGGGGCACCATCAGCCCAGGGGATCAATACAGCAACTTTATCTTATCTATATTTATCATAAAATGCCAAAAAATAAAAATAAAAGAGAACCCCCATTTATGCAGATTTCCTCACTGTATGTTTTGTAATTTATTTAAGCAGACCATAAGGAGTTTATTCAGCATGGTGAAAATGAAAAGCAGAAATTGTGGGATTGTGTTTAACTTCTTTTTTGTTTGTTTGTCTTTCATTGACATAAATAAAGTCCCTTTTCATTCCTGAGTTGTTGTTTATTTTTGTTTAGTTTATTTTTTTTTTCCCTCCATCCTTCTATTTTGTCCATCTGATCAGATTGAAGCCCTGTTAAATCCCAAGCAGGAAGATCATTGCTCAGTTATTTTTGGATGACCCGATGTCCGGTTCTATTTGTTTGCTCTTCTCTGGCCTCTTGAAATTGCACTTCATGCCTGCCTCATGGCCCATAATGCAGGGTTTTTAATGAACGCACGTTTTGAATACCTGGTCGAATTTGTATAGTGCCGTGTTGTGCTGTTTTGGCGTCTGTCAATGTGATTTCTGTTGAATCTATTGCACGAGTTTCACTGCAACAGGAACCACCTGTTTATTTCGTTGTAGCACTTTTTGACAGTGGACTCAGTAACTGCAAATTCAGCCAATGTTTCTTTGTGAATCTTCTGTTTTAAGACCAACTTCAGCTGTTTTGAAATTGTCCAAACAGTGTACGTGGAGCTGGCTGGATATAATGTGTGGAAAGGCTGTACAGCAATACCTCCCATCTTGTGGTCCTTTTCCCCAACTTTACAGTCCACCTACATGATAAAATGGTTCTATGAGAGGTTAAATTACTCTTTGCTATTCACATTTAAGGTGATTCTTGTAATATATGGCCAGACATTCAATTCAGCTTCATTAGTTACTAAGTAACTAAATGTGGTTTAGATTATTTAACCCTTTGCTCTTGATTTGAAGCAGTAAGTTGAGTTCAGCCACTTAGTGCAGTCTGTTTTTTTTTTTTTTTTTGAGTATGTATCGTTGGGGAACAGAATCAGACATGTCTGGTTGTGCTTGTACACCAACTCTCTCAAGTCTGCTAGAATGCTTGTATCGGTTGTCAGTGAAACCTTTAATCTGCAACTAAACCCAAGTCAAACCCCCTCATCATCGACGTTTCATCTGCAACTGCCTTCGGTTTCCCCGTGAGCTTCATGAACCACACAGCACTGGTTGAAGCCGATGATCTTATGATGCCAGTCTCTCCTGAACTGTCTTTTGTACGCTTGCATTGAGATGCTCAACCCAGGACCAAGAGATGTGATGGATTTGACTCCATTTTCTTTGGATCGCTTTATAATTTGTACCTGTTTTCTTGCATGGTTTTTGTATCTGACATGCCTGGGAAAGTTTCACAGTTCCATGTAACGTTTGCGAAGTTCTATTAAATATGGTGCTGTTTTTTAGTAAGCAGTCGACGTCGTAGTGATGGACGGGTTCTGTGTATATCTGTTACTTTTATGATTTATCAGTGGTTGGTTGTGCTGATCTGGTATGTTTTATTCCTCCTTGCGGTTTTTGCTTGAGTCAGTTTTTGTAAATTCTTTTATTCTTACTTTCTGTCTCAGTCTCTGACTGTTTTGTTGTCTGTATTTGTGACGAAAATTTATGGTTGCAACTTGCAAGCCTCTAACCTGAACCACGAGTGAATGCCTGGTGAATAAATGGAATTAACGCTCGCGCTCACCGGTTTCTTAATAAAGGACATTTTTAACAGATTTCTCCTCGGCTGCTTATTCTAAACATCTATTAATATTCATCTCACAGTCAGGACTTGTATCTGACTCCATTCCTCAAGGTTTCTCTTCTGCGGCTTGTTTATTATTTACAATGAGAATCCTTACTTTTGTAGTTTGTGCCTGTCAGCGGTTTCTAAATAGTTTGAAAACAATTTCTTGCTCAATGAAAAGTTTGTGCTTCCACTGTGGATCCGTTTTGTCTAACCCTTATAGCTCGTAAATTGACCTTTAACCTCTCATGACTCAAACTGACTGCATTTGCAAAAAAAGCTTATGTTAATTGGTTTGTCCTATATGTACTGTACACTGTTCAAAAAAATGGGGTGTTAGTCAGATTTTTTTTTTGAAAGAAGTTTCTTCTGCCCACAACTACATTTATTTGATCAAAAATACAGTAATTTTGTGAAATATTATTAGAATTTCAAAATATCTGTTTTCTATTTTTATTTTTATTTTATATTTTATTCCTGTGATGCCAAGCTGAATTTCTAGCGTCATTAGTATTACTACATGTCTTCAGTGTTACATGATCCTTCAGAAATCATTCCAATATGCTGATTTTCTGCTCAAGAAACATAATTTGAAGAAAGTTTAAAAGAAAGTTTTTTTTGTAATGTCTTTTAAAAACTCACTTTTAGTCATTTTAATGCGTCCTTGCTGAATAAAAATGATTTTCTTTAAAATCAATATGTCATTTTCAAGTTGTTCAATAAATGGCACAATTTTTAAGTTATAACATAAATTATACAAAACTAATAATCAGTTATCTATCAGTTATGGGAACACTCTTTATTATAGTATTGGTTGTAAAACCACATCATTGGTTTAACCACCCATCTTAAAATTAGCTTTTAAAAAGACAGGTTTCAGTTTATTCTGTGGCATTCGTGGATGGTTTTGCTGTGCCCACCCCCACAGGAATGTGACACCCTGTTCAGACTGACCCCAGCAGCTGTAAGGAGAGAGAGAACACATGGCACTGGCTATTTTAAGAGTTCATTCAACCAACTCATTCAAACATATCTTTCCCTGGACGTGGTCGTTCCTTCTGGATCTCTCCTCAGCTGAAAGTTCTGGACAAGCTTGTCAGGGGCCGGGCAAGTTTATAAGTAGCCGAGACGAGTCAACCAGAATATCAAACAAGCCAACATGGCTCTACTGTGTTACAACAGAGGCTGCGGGGATCGATTTGATGCTGACAAAAACTCAGATGGTAATTTTTACAATTATTAATATTTTTTACTATATCTATATTGTTAAAAAAGTATAATCTTATACTGTGAACTGTGAAGCTCATGGTTGGTATTACAGGCCTGATGTTACATAAATCTACCAACAACTTTTAAGAGTGAGTGACATAACTGTTGGAGAAGTGTTTAATCACTTTCTGTGCTAGACCTGCTGTGAAGCTGTTTTAGAAATTGAAATATATAAATAGAGCTGAGCCGACAGCTGATTGCTGTGAGAATGAGAGAGAGTCGCTGGTCTCGGGGGGCACGACGTCATTTTGGCCTCCAGCTAGCTACCATTTATTACATGTTTTCTTTGTTTTATATATAATATTGATAGATAAAGATGGGTTAGTGTGTGCCCATAAAGGTTTATTCGATCCACGAAGTCTCCAGCACGTTCGGAGGTGTTCTAATCAAATGTTACTTCCATAAATGGCTCATCTCCTACAGTAGCTGTCCATGTGTTTATCTAGCTAGCCATGTATGCCAGTAAGCAAGGCGTGAGGCCTATTGAGTTGAGTTCATTAAAAAAAAGGTAATGAGGGATGGACTTCTGTAGATAAATGTCTCCTGCTAACTCCTATTTTCTCTCTCACCACCTGAAGATGCCTGTCAGTTTCACCCCGGAGTGCCAATCTTCCACGATGCCTTAAAGGTGAGCTCGTCAGAATGTATCTTTGTCTGCACAGACCGCCGCCTGCTCGGTTTTTAGCGCTGTCATAACCTGATAAGAACATTTTCTGCGTGTTTGCCTGCCTCTTAGGGAGCCTATATTCGTGCGTTTTTGTTATATTTTGTTCTTGGCTGTCTGATGTGGTTCTTTGTTTGGGTTATTCTCCTCAGGGCTGGTCCTGCTGTAGAAAGAAGACGACAGATTTCTCCGAGTTCCTGTCAATCAAGGTATGCTAATAATAATCATCTCGCGCTGCTTTCCATGCCCTGCACGCGCATTAACTACAGACTGGAACAAAGTGACAGAAAATGTCTCAGACAGCCACAAAAAATCCTTTGGTAACACTTAACAATAAAGCTCAGTTTGGTTAAAATGGATTAATGCACTTTATAAATGTAGTATAAATGAACATTATTGTATTATGGGCATTGGGAGACAGAAAGAGAGAGAAAAAGACAAAGCTGGTTAAGTCATGACTGGTTTTAGAGGGGTTTTGGTCATGCTGGGAGACAAGCTTGAACCAGCTAAGAGCAGCTGACTAGCTTGTGCTGGTTTTTACCTTTTTTTCCAGCAGGGAAATCAATTTACAATAGTTTATTTATAAATTAACATTATAAATGAAATAAATGCTGTAAAAAATGTATTTTTTTATGACACCTAACTGTTAACTAACTGAATCGTATTGTTTGTCCACAACAAAAATTTGAATGCAAAAGTAATGGATTTTAATTTAAATAATTTCTACCTGGCATAGAAAGTAGTGCTTGGCATAATTATAAATATAGGCCTATATTAAACATAAAAATGTTTATTGTATTTTACCAGACTTTTGCCAGGTCTGGAAATCACACTTTAAAAATTACCGTATATTGAGGCACCCTTAGACGTTTTACATTCAGTTATCAGATACTTTTATTAAAAGTGACTTACCAAATTATCATATAGTAGCCATCATTAGCATTACTGAATGTTAAGAGCTAGTGCTACAAAATCTCAGAAACAAGTAACAACAGTACTAATAATCAAACATTACTTAACTCTTTTTCATAATGTCATTTGATTCATACAATCTCAAATAAGTCATTTGTTTACTAATTATTTTCTTCCAGTCACATATTGATTGGCAGGTCCTGTCTTGTGCTTGTCCTCAGGGTTGCACCCGCGGGCGTCACAGTAACGAGAAGCCTCTGGAGCCTCTGCGGCCGGAGGTGACGTCTGAGAAGGGAGACGTGAAGCAGCGCAGTGGAGAAGAGATTATCTACCAGGGACCCAAATCTGCTGAAGCCCTGGAAAAAGAGAGACCCAGGTAAATTTGCAACTCACACACGCACACACATTGTGCGCTTTCACCCACCAACACATTGTTCTGAATACAAATTCATTCATTTTCCTTCTCTGAAGCCCTTTCTTTGTTGCTCCTTTAAAAATAGAACTCGAGGTCCTTCTGACTGTTGAATACAAACAGACAGTGACATGTTTTTCGATTCCCTCTTTCTCAGTTCAGAAGAGCCCAAGGTAAAGCTGCAGGTGAAGGTCTCTCCCTCTCTGGCTCAGATCCTGGAGAAAATGGAGATCACTGAAAGGGAGAAGAGAGAGAAGCTAGGTGAGCAATCCTATTATTCCTATTGGTCATCATCATGATCAGGATCACCTGCAACACAAGCACACTGCATTACAGAAAACAAAGTTTATTAGAGGGCATTTTACAAGGAAATTCTGTTTCGGTCATTCTGAAATTTACTCGCAGTTTCTGACTAAAATAGTTTTTCACTGCAGATTGATACTAATGCTGTGGTTCTTCACTGGTTTTTGCTCCAGAACCCAGATTTTAAATTGGGCATTAATCGACAATCCAACACTAAAAAATGTCCTTAAAAAGATTCAATGAAATTCATTCGTTTTAAAGATGTATTTAATATTAGTGATATACAAAACAAAATCTTAATCTTTGAATTAATTTACAAAATTAATGTATTAAAAAAAATTAAAAAATTAAAATATGCATAACAAAATTAATCTTTCAAGTCAAAAACTATGTTTATTAATGTTCCAACAACAACAAAACAATCATTAATTAATTATTAATAATATTAAATTCATATTAACATCATAATTTCATATGAATGAAGATAAAAAATATATATAAATAAATTCTATTTATCTTTGCAGCCAAAAATACTGAATGGCATAAATCATGTTTATCCATGTTTCATGCAAGCAAGCCTGTATTTAATATAGTAAGGGTTATTACCATTAACTCAAATAAAACTAAAACCATTTTGCTACTTAAAAGCAAATAAAAGTGAACTGAAATAACATAAAAAACTTCAGCTTTATTTCAGCTTGTTGCCATGGTCAAATTTATTGTTTAGTTTAACTTGTTAAACTAGTTAAGTACCAAAATAACAAAAATCTAAATAAAAAATAAAACTAACAAATAAAAATGTATAAAAACTACTGTATGTAGGCCAGTGTTGGGTGTAACTAATTACTAAGTAGTTAGTTACTGTAATTTAATTACTTTTCCCTTGAAAATGTAAAGTAAGGGATTACTCTTCATGTACCTGTAATTTAATTACAGTTACTTCTGATGTAATTGAGGTAAATACTGTGTATAGATCAATCCGATCTCACAGCGATTCGTATGCATTTTATGAGGTGTCTAAACCGTACGACCGCACTCGTACAATTTCGTATGTGAATTCGTACGTAATTATTGTAAAATATATATGAAAATTCATGAGATCAGACATAAAACAATAGTGGGTTTAACATCAAAATGTATTGTCTGATGTTAAAAAGTATGTTTTTATAATGTAACCTTCTCCATCTTGGTCTGTTTAAGGATAATTCATGCAATTTTATAGTATTTATTTGAAAGAATTAAAACAGATTCATGTCTATTCTTGTATTATTCAGCTGGTTGAGATTGAAATGGGATTTTGAAAGTAATTAGTAATTAAAAGTAATTAAATACTTTTTAAAGAGAGTAATTAGTACAGTAATCTAATTACACTGTTGAAAAGGTAATTAGTAACTAGTAATTAATTACTTTTTTAGAGTAACTCACCCAACACTGATGTAGGCATATATTTAACAAAGAAACACTAATGAAAACTAACAAAAGAGACAAAAATCTATGTGAAGCAATTTACTCCTCCCTTTTATACATTAATAAGCATATTTATTGATTCTAGTAATGCACAACGATATGATTTTAATTATATTATTTTCTTTATCATTGCTTTGTTGGCAGTCAGCCGCACTGCTCTAGTGAAGGTCATTTCAGTCCTTGGCAATAGCTGTAGATATGAGGTCCACCTGTCCTGTCCACAGTCTGTCACTTTTATAGGACACACAGAAACACTGCTGTCTCTCAGGTCTGCTGTGCTGTCCTGTCACAGGCTGCAGGATTGACCTTAAGACGGACAGTAGTGTGACTATTGCAAATTTAGAGATTTTGTTGTCTCATAAAGTTTTCTATCTATTTTCTAACTACCTGACTTTGTTGTCTTCTCTTCCTACTGTCACCTCTTCCCTCTCGCTGTCCCACAGAGTGCCAAATCGTCATGGTTGGTGTTAGGTGCAAAAACGCAGGATGCAAAACAGTAGGTACTCATGTAATCTGTAAATCACAATGAAACCAATCAGCTTGCTTAAAGGGTTAGTTCACCCAAAAATGATAATTCTGTCACTAATTACTCACCCTCATGTTGTTCCAACCCTGTAAGACTTTCGTTCATCTTCAGAACACAAAGATATTTTTGATTAAATCTGAGAGCTGTCTCACTCCTCCATAGGCTTCTATTGTAATTGAAACCTGCCGGCCCAGAAAGTTAGTAAAAACATTGTTAAAAAATAGTCAAAGTGCCTACAGTGGCTCAACCCTAAGTTTATCAAGTGACGAGAATACTTTTTGTGTGCAAAAACAAACGTAAATAACAACTAAAGCCTCTGAGTGAGTTCAGAACGTAGGCTCACTATTGGCAGACGCTGGTCATGTGTGGGATGCTGGCCAATAGTGAGCCTACGTTCTGACGTAGCACTGCACTGTTACAGTTTATGAACTCGCTCAGAGGCCCACACAGTAGAAGATGAACAGTTGATTAAATTTTTTGCTCACAAAAAGTATTCTCATCGCTTGATAAACTTAAGGTTGAGTCGCTTGGACTATTTTCAAAATATTTTTACTAACGTTCTGGGCCGGCAGGTTTCAAATTCAATAGAAGCCCATGGAGGTGTGAGACAGCTCTCAGATTTAATCATAATATTAACATCAACAATATATACAGTTTAATGCCATCTAGTGGATCCTACTAAAGAATGAAACTGCAGAGCTTCATGTACGGACAGACTCCACTGAAGAAAATCATTAATAATCTCGAGTGTAACTAGATCAGCATTTGAATATTGAATGGAGACAGAGCAGCAGATGAGTAAGAATTAATGACTAAATATCCCTTACTGACCTTAATGCCTTCTTTTAAAGCTTCCCTTCTCTGGGAAAGGATCATCTTTAATGGATTAGTTTGCTGAAATCCCAGAAGTTTATCATGTTAATTACTCAGCAGAGCTGTTCTTTAGTCCAGGAGAAAACTAAACCTGTATCAGCAGGGGCATGTGCTATTTAGCCTATTTACATTTTTTTTTTAAACTGATGTAAGTGTATTTTTTTTTATATAATTTGTAATATTTTACTATGAATAAGCAGAAGCATTTTTAAATGTCACCAATAGGAATTGAGTTTAGGATATTTCATATATCGCACTGAATTTTATGCACCATAGAAGAACAGTCTTTGAAATGGATTCATTCCAGACATCACAAGTCAAGCACAGACTTAATAAATTCCTCTTCCTGTCATTCCATTTCAGTATCCTGTCGGTCATGACAAATTAAATAGAAATGTCATCTCTTGTATTGAAAAGGAGCCAATTCTTTAACCTGACGAGCAGAATGGTTTAGAATTGATGGTACACTATGGCCCCCTAGTGGTTAAAAAACAAAAAGGCATGCATTTTTCGGAACAACAGTGTTGGTTCTGCGTGCCTGTGCGGATGAATACGGTCATCCTACTGCTCATAAAACATTCAATAAGCGGCTAAAAAGATATAACCAGTTTAGATGGAAAGGATCTCAAGGAAGATGCTGTAGCCATATCCATTTATAGACTTGGTGGTAAGCTACTTCCTTGAAAATAAATTCCAGCTCAGCTCTACAACAGCCATATTTGTAATGAACTCTGTTAGAGTTAACATCGGTTCAATAAAATACCTTACTCACTTGTTGTTGAGTAATAAAAACATATATACATCGCTTTTATCACATTTTAACATGGTTGCTCCATGTTGTCAAACTTTTTCGTTCGTCGTGTCGTGTGTGTCCACACCATAAACTTGTCGAAGTAGCCGAATCAATTTACTTAACTATTTATAGATATGACGCGAACACACACGGGCAAATGACCCATGTAGCAATTTTCCCGCGAAAACCATCCCATTGTGTGTAAAATTAAAACACTTAGAATAGGCAAAAACACGTTTTGGAAGAAATATTGATGCATCGACTCATTCAATTTTGTTCATTTTAAACCAAAAAGTTACTAGTACCTGTAATGCCATATTGCTGGTTCTCTCAGACTAATGGTGTTTTTTTTATCCACTGAAACAGACACATAGCTCTGTTACAGCTTTCTGCTCTTTTATATATTTGGAAGAGTAGAAAAATGAGTGTATTTTCAGGCGTGAAGGCAGTAAACGGATGACACAGAGCTTGTACTGAGTTTAGGAGCATCAGCACTTTAAATATGCTGAGTTACTGACTATGAGTGTTTCTCTGGAGTGATGGAGAGATTTCTTTAGTGGTGTGTGAGGTACATCTGTGTGTTTTGAGTAGCTGTTCAAATGCTTGTGTGTGTTCAGACTTACCAGGGTCCAGAGACTGACACAGAGATCTGCTCACATCATCCCGGGGCCCCTGTCTTCCACGAAGGGTAAGAAAACTGCAGCATTTGAGTCTTTATTTGGAAACAGGTATACTTATCTTCAAACAGACAAATAGTTCCTGTATCTGTTAAAAATACTACAGTAGGCCTACAAGCATGGCCTGTTTTCTTAAAGCTTTTCTCACAGAACCAATTTGGATTCAGATCCACATGTGCAGTCCATTTCAACAAGAGATCATGATGCGATCACACAAAAGTGCTCTTAATATCAGTACTTACTGTATGAGATGAGAGGGGAAATGCATTATAATTCACATCTGCTGTTCATAGATACAAATACTGGAACTGCTGCTGCATAAAAACCACGGACTTCAACGCCTTCCTGGATCAGAAGGGCTGCACAGCAGGAAAACACTGCTGGATCCCCAAAAATGTAAGAGCTTAGACTTTTTATGATCACTGGATAGTTGTTTACATGGACACAGATCGTACTGTATAATCAGGAAACAACCAACTAACCCTCTCTGGAAAAATATATTTACTGTCTGTATGTTTTGTTTGTGCTGGAATGAAGGACAAAAAGAAAGTGGCTTGCCGGCACGATTGGCACCAAACAGGAAACCAGGTCGTGGTCACAATCTACGCCAAGAACTCCAGTCCAGAGCATTCCTATGTGGAGGCAAACCGCACAGTGGTGAGTTCAAATGAACCCTTAAAAACATGAATCTGTGTCACTGTGTCTCTATCAATACATGTTTCTGTATTTTCCATCAATCTGCAGTTAACATGCCACATTCAGTTTGAGGGCGACAAAGTGTTTCACAAGGACATCCACTTATGGGGGGTAAGATTGCTCTACATTCACAGTCTGTTATGTTTTAACAATGACAATTTCATTTCATTTTAATCTCAGGAACATCTGTGTGTATCTATTAATCGAGTATCTCTCATTAAAGGCAAAAATAAATGAATGTATTTTTTTGTTTAGTGGATAATAAACAATTTTACAAAAGTAGTTTAAAATACTTTTCAAGTTTATATTAGTATTTGGAATTAGCTTTTATTTTTATATTTAAAATGTTCATTTTACTTTATTATTTAGAAGAGATGCACCGATATGAAATTTTTGGCAGGTACCGACACGGATAGCCGATCATTCTTTATATTTGATAACTCTAAATCCACATTTTTATGTAATTTTTGAGATTACAAAAAAAAAAAAGTCTCTGAATGTCCCAAGCTATAATGTTCTCATCATAATTTTATGTAGAGTGTTGCACATATTTTCCTTTTCAAAGTGATTCCAATCATATTTCAAACAAAGCAAAACCATCTTAAGTGTCTCTCCTGGAAATAAAGGAAATTTTCCATTATCAAGGAAATAATCCATTATTTTTCAGCTTTAATATATCAGCCAAATTTTCTTATTGGGACGATAATGATAACATTAATATGATCAAATATCGGCCGATACCGATGGTGGATCGTGCATTCCTAATAAGGTTAACCATTTATGTTAACAATAACCACACAGGTATACCGTGTACATATATTTAAAAAAAATCCCAGAATGCAGTCAATCTGATGTGTGTCCACTGCTGGTCTCTTAGGTGATCGACGAGAAGAGCAGTTCTGTGAACATGGTGCCCTCTAAAGTGGAGGTGACCATGCAGAAGGCTCATGCTGTAGCCTGGGGGAAACTTGAGAACCCCAAACACAAACCAGAGCCAGAGGTCACCGATGAAATGAACAACACAGAACAGGAAAACGTCAAACCCGACTGGTACATCTCAGATGATGACATCAGTGAGTCTGACTGGGAAGATGATGATGATGAGGACAAGAAAGAGAGTGAGGAGAAAAACGAACAACAGGAAGATGGACCCCCTGAGCTAGAAGAACCTGCTGATGTCCCTCCAGTAAAATGAACATTTATTCTGCGGTGCAATGGTAATGTATTTCTGAAGTTATGCATTTGTTTACACAACACTTGATAGATTTATACAAATGTGGGGCTGCCTCTTTCATGCATATATATATATATATATATATATATATATATATATATATGTGTGTGTGTGTGTGTGTGTATTGTGAAACATTTTAATTTCAAATAGCTGTTTTGTATTTGATGCAGAATATTTTAACATGTAATTTATTCCTGTGATGTCAAATCTTTTAGCATCATTACTCCAGTTTTTAGTGTCACATGATCCTTCAGAAATCTTTCTAATATGCTGACGTGGGCAGTTTTGAAAACATATTTTTGTGGATGACATCACATTTTTTTCAGTGTTCTTTGATGAATAGAAAGTTCACAAGCACAGCATTTATTTGAAAAATACTTTTGTAACAATGTAATTTAAAGCATCTTTGCTGAATAAAAGTACTGTTCTTTCAACAACAAAAACAACAACAACTAAAAAAATGACTGAGCCCAAAGCATAACTGTGGATTCATTGCAGATTTTCAGCGCTGACAAAGTACATTTTATATACTGTAGCATAAGAGTGGTAAACCATCGCAGCTTAGATGAAGTATATTCTGTGAAATCATGACAAGAAAGTGCAAGAGTTCAAACAGCAATGGCCACACTTTATTTTTGCGTCAAGTCAACAGCAACAATCCTGAAGAAAGTGATTGCAGTCAGACAGGGTCTAAGGCCATGGAAGCTTGACTGCAACCCATATGGCAAAAAAATATTTTAAATAAAAAGGATAAATAATACATCTTAAAAGTAAACAGTAGTCTTGACGGTGAAGAGGATTGGTACCAGCAAATAAAAAGTCAATCTCTTCTGTTTTGGTTCTTTTTCTCTGTTCATAAAATCATTGTCTTCTGCTTGTACCTGATAGCCACAGTCAAAATCAATGAGCTGATACGTGGAGATGGTCAAGTAATGCGTTTGCTGTGTCAATCCAAACTGAACAGCACACGGCAACAGTTCATCACAGATGTGAAACTTTAAAACAAAGACATGCAAAACAATATTAAAAAAATACAGGACAGCTTTTAGGGGCACAATCAGCACCTTGACTTCAAATCAATACCACGTTTGCAATGTCTCTGTGTGTGTTTCTTATAGAGCAACACTGTTAGACTTTGGCTCATAACTATCAAGAAAACAATGAAGTTGTCTAGTATTGTGTATATTAGTTAGTTTAAACTGTACCATTGGAGTGTGTTGATAAATACTGCTTGAGAACCATACCATATATTATTAGTCAAGTTCAAGTTTTGCTTTACCTCATGTATTCCATAAACAGACTGACCCCTGAAAAGGGGCGACAGTTGAATAACATTCATAAGTTTGGTTATATACTGCCTTATATGTAACATCCCATAGGTTTTCCATGAATGAGATACCAGTTTTCATATGATAAAACAGAACACACAACCTTTTTACTTTGCCTCTTTTAAACATTTGTTTTCTATATTAAAGTGCAAGGCGAGATAAAATACATCTTGAAATGTACGACAACACACAGCATCACTTTCTTTCACAAGATTTCCCTGCAGAAAAAAGTAAAGAAACAGCTCACTTTAAAAACCACTGCGCTCCATTTACTCACTTGGCACAAGAGTTACGGTACTGAAGCTTCTAGAACGACGGCTCAATTGACACTAGTGATACACCATCACGGCTTGGCTGACGATCTGAGAGTAAAAAGAAGAAAAATAGACCTTTTTCCTGCATAAGGGCATGAAAGGCATGCAGAAACTGAGATGGTCTTTGATAGATACAGAGACTAGATGCAGATTAACTATTCAGCCAGTTTGACGAATAATACAGGTCCACCATACATTCATCATCAGGATATTCCTTTTTTTTGTGTGCATGTGTTAAATTGTCTTCATTTCTGTACAATTGTTTAGTTTGATTTAGTTTGTTCCTTTCTTGTTGTTCAGGCGGCGAAAGGACGGGGTCTTTTTTTGTTTCCCTTTGGAGAGTGAAAAAAAGTTTATAGTTTGTGTCTGACGGCTGGAATACTAAGTAGCAAGATAATTAAAAAAAAGAACGGATTTGGTCATGCATGGGAGTGGCGTTGCTGAAAACAGAGAGAGATGGTGGACGGTCCACTTCCTACTCCCTGATGCTGAGCATTTCCCATGACACCATCCGCAGGCAGAGAAGAAACAAACAGAAGCACAGTAATGCAGTGCCGGGCCGGTGACACGCCCCTCCAAAAAAAGCTCACAAACATGGGGATGGGGCATGTATCTGCACAGGTGGTCTCCCGCCCTCCCTCACTGGCCGTAAAGCAGCATCCCGTGTCCTCACAGATGAGCTGCAACAAACCACTTCGGCTCTTCAGTTGCCTCCAGGATCCACATCATACACCCCACCTTTGATATCCCACGATCCTGAGTGGTGCAAACAAATGTATTAAGATTTTGAGTTGAATTTGTTCAATTAATATGATTCATTTTTTTTTTTTCAATTAAAATAATTCATTATGCATCTGAACCATCTGTAAATGGCACAAGGAATATTATGCAAAACATATTTGGTAGATGAGATGATTAGAAATAATTAGTTCACAACCAGGCCAAGCAACTGGCACTTAGTATGACAAGGGTGAGCCACATATTAGCCCGATATATGGGTGTACTTCCAATAATTGACCATGACCATGAGGCTGGTTAATACTGTGTTTCTGCTAGTGATTGTGTCTGTTACCTGACAGAGAGCTGCTGGACCGCTGCTTATGCAGCCTCTCTCGCTCTTTCTTGCCCTTGGGCATGATTTTCAGCTTCATACTGCTTTTCACCAACACACGGGACGGGTCCTAGAGTGAAACCAAGAACGAGGAGTCAAGAACAAGGAGTCTAAAGAGCAGGGGCGGTTCTAGGGTCAGTGGACATTTGGGGCTTTAGCCTAGACTTCCCTCGATGCAAACTAAGCCATCCTTTGATTTTAATATTATATTAATAGACTATTATGTAACAATTCGAAAAGCAGCATTTTAAGTTATTAGTCCATTTAAATGAGTCTTTCTAAAGTAGATGTAAAAGTAAAAATAGTTGTTGGAATTACCAAAGTTTGCGAAAATAAAAGAGAGCAAAACAGTATATTCTGCCTTCTATGAAATTCACTGCTTTTACGAATGCCAGTGACATGGAGCAATAAATTCCTGGAAACACTGAATGCCACATTTAAATGCAGTTGTCACAATTTTGCACTGTGTACTGGCCATTCCTCTTAGCAGCATGAAAAATAAAGCATTTGTTCAAATTGTGAATTGATTATATGCAGAACGCATTTGGTGTTTAATCCGAAGCTTTCAATCATTCATTTGAATCTTTCATTTGTAACAACAGGATATTGGCTATAATGATTCTGACATGTTAGCGAAAGTGTAGAACTCAATGAGCTTGTGTTAAATAAATCTTTGGCGCAGTGGCTCATCAACAAACATGTCTGTGATTGGCTACAATGCTATGATACAATGATACAATGGGGGGCTGCAATAACTCTGAAGCTATTCAGTTAAGGTAAAAAAAACTGCATAGTGCTGCTTTAATTATTCAGCTTTATGAGAAAGACAAGGAAAACAAAACATTCAGGGCTTTACTAAAAACATTGTCTGAAGCAGTCTTGCCCTTGTCCTAATACTGACTAGTATTGACTTCATCAGGAATTTATCACTGTGATTAAAAAAAAATAAAGTTGAAATCACACCATATTTAAACTTCTCTTTAGAGAAAATGAATGTATTTTTTAACTATTGTGTTATATAGAAAAAGTAATGCAAACTAAAATGAAACCACTGTGGAGACTAAAGACATGAATGTGGAGTAGGACAAACCTCCTCAGAGCAGTGCATGCTGGGACAGATCCAGTGAATGTCCTCCAGCTTGTGTAACTCAGCGCCGAGACTATCCACTGTGGAAAGAAGCTCCTCTTTTTGAGAAGACTCCAACTGCTACATACACACATATACACAGAAAATGTCTTTATCATATTTCATACAGAATTACTTATGCACAAGAACAGGCCAGAGAAAGTGAAGCCGCTCACCAGCAGTTTTCCCTCAAGCAGCATCTTGGTCTCTTGCTGGAGAACTTTACTGCTGTTGACAATGTCTACAGCAGTACTGCGACTCAACACCTGCAGAGAAACACACACACACAATCACAGCTCAAGTTCAGTTTGACTTTCTGTCAGACTCTCGCTGTTCAGTGATTAACACTTAGTCATTCTTCTATTCGCTGGTCAATGGAGGTCCCGTGGAGAACAGCATGAGAAGCTGAACATGCTGAAAGCCACAGCAGGACGGACGGACCTGCTACTTCCTACTGGAGACTGAAAGGTTCAGTTGTTAACCTTTAAAGCAGAGCTAGACTGAACTGATCCTCATCACATCACTCACTGATATGAACTAAGAACAGGGTGGCTACAGGTATAAACAATTTAAATTTAAGACTTTATAAGACATTTTAATACCACTTCTAAATTAAATTTAAGACTAAACTCACGAAGGAAATAGAAATATTACTGAATTTATATATTGTTTTAAATTATTGTTTTGAATTTATATATTGACTCTAGAGACCCTTCCAGAGCTGAGATATTGAGATTTTTATAATGGCATAAATGCTATGTGGGATCTCCATATCTCAGCTCTGGAAGGGTCTAGAGACTCCATTTTTGCACTCAGGTCTAAGTCTCATGGCCCTCTATCAGAATCCAGAGTTTTGGGAAGATTGGAGAAACTTAATTTTTCGCCCAAAAAAAAAAAACGTAAGGGGTACCACTGTCGTTTTTTTTTTCGGGCCGAATTTTTGAGTTTCGATATCTCAGCTCTGGAAGGGGCTAGAGCCTCCATTTTTGCACTCAGGTCTAAGTCTCATGGCCCTCTATCAGAATCCAGAGTTTTGGGAAGATTGGAGAAACTTAATTTTTCGCCCCCAAAAAAAAAACGTAAGGGGTACCACTGTCGTTTTTTTTTTTCGGGCCGAATTTTTGAGTTTCGATATCTCAGCTCTGGAAGGGGCTAGAGCCTCCATTTTTGCACTCAGGTCTAAGTCTCATGGCCCTCTATCAGAATCCAGAGTTTTGGGAAGATTGGAGAAACTTAATTTTTCGCCCAAAAAAAAAAAACGTAAGGGGTACCACTGTCGTTTTTTTTCGGGCCGAATTTTTGAGTTTCGATATCTCAGCTCTGGAAGGGGCTAGAGCCTCCATTTTTGCACTCAGGTCTAAGTCTCATGGCCCTCTATCAGAATCCAGAGTTTTGGGAAGATTGGAGAAACTTAATTTTTCGCCCAAAAAAAAAAACGTAAGGGGTACCACTGTCGTTTTTTTTTCGGGCCGAATTTTTGAGTTTCGATATCTCAGCTCTGGAAGGGGCTAGAGCCTCCATTTTTGCACTCAGGTCTAAGTCTCATGGCCCTCTATCAGAATCCAGAGTTTTGGGAAGATTGGAGAAACTTAATTTTTCGCCCAAAAAAAAAAAACGTAAGGGGTACCACTGTCGTTTTTTTTTCGGGCCGAATTTTTGAGTTTCGATATCTCAGCTCTGGAAGGGGCTAGAGCCTCCATTTTTGCACTCAGGTCTAAGTCTCATGGCCCTCTATCAGAATCCAGAGTTTTGGGAAGATTGGAGAAACTTAATTTTTCGCCCAAAAAAAAAAACGTAAGGGGTACCACTGTCGTTTTTTTTTCGGGCCGAATTTTTGAGTTTCGATATCTCAGCTCTGGAAGGGGCTAGAGCCTCCATTTTTGCACTCAGGTCTAAGTCTCATGGCCCTCTATCAGAATCCAGAGTTTTGGGAAGATTGGAGAAACTTAATTTTTCGCCAAAAAAAAAAAAACGTAAGGGGTACCACTGTCGTTTTTTTTTTCGGGCCGAATTTTTGAGTTTCGATATCTCAGCTCTGGAAGGGGCTAGAGCCTCCATTTTTGCACTCAGGTCTAAGTCTCATGGCCCTCTATCAGAATCCAGAGTTTTGGGAAGATTGGAGAAACTTAATTTTTCGCCCAAAAAAAAAAAAACGTAAGGGGTACCACTGTCGTTTTTTTTTTCGGGCCGAATTTTTGAGTTTCGATATCTCAGCTCTGGAAGGGGCTAGAGCCTCCATTTTTGCACTCAGGTCTAAGTCTCATGGCCCTCTATCAGAATCCAGAGTTTTGGGAAGATTGGAGAAACTTAATTTTTCGCCCAAAAAAAAAAACGTAAGGGGTACCACTGTCGTTTTTTTTTTCGGGCCGAATTTTTGAGTTTCGATATCTCAGCTCTGGAAGGGGCTAGAGCCTCCATTTTTGCACTCAGGTCTAAGTCTCATGGCCCTCTATCAGAATCCAGAGTTTTGGGAAGATTGGAGAAACTTAATTTTTCGCCAAAAAAAAAAAAACGTAAGGGGTACCACTGTCGTTTTTTTTTCGGGCCGAATTTTTGAGTTTCGATATCTCAGCTCTGGAAGGGGCTAGAGCCTCCATTTTTGCACTCAGGTCTAAGTCTCATGGCCCTCTATCAGAATCCAGAGTTTTGGGAAGATTGGAGAAACTTAATTTTTCGCCCAAAAAAAAAAACGTAAGGGGTACCACTGTCGTTTTTTTTTCGGGCCGAATTTTTGAGTTTCGATATCTCAGCTCTGGAAGGGGCTAGAGCCTCCATTTTTGCACTCAGGTCTAAGTCTCATGGCCCTCTATCAGAATCCAGAGTTTTGGGAAGATTGGAGAAACTTAATTTTTCGCCCAAAAAAAAAAACGTAAGGGGTACCACTGTCGTTTTTTTTTCGGGCCGAATTTTTGAGTTTCGATATCTCAGCTCTGGAAGGGGCTAGAGCCTCCATTTTTGCACTCAGGTCTAAGTCTCATGGCCCTCTATCAGAATCCAGAGTTTTGGGAAGATTGGAGAAACTTAATTTTTCGCCAAAAAAAAAAAACGTAAGGGGTACCACTGTCGTTTTTTTTTTCGGGCCGAATTTTTGAGTTTCGATATCTCAGCTCTGGAAGGGGCTAGAGCCTCCATTTTTGCACTCAGGTCTAAGTCTCATGGCCCTCTATCAGAATCCAGAGTTTTGGGAAGATTGGAGAAACTTAATTTTTCGCCCAAAAAAAAAAACGTAAGGGGTACCACTGTCGTTTTTTTTTCGGGCCGAATTTTTGAGTTTCGATATCTCAGCTCTGGAAGGGGCTAGAGCCTCCATTTTTGCACTCAGGTCTAAGTCTCATGGCCCTCTATCAGAATCCAGAGTTTTGGGAAGATTGGAGAAACTTAATTTTTCGCCCAAAAAAAAAAAACGTAAGGGGTACCACTGTCGTTTTTTTTTTCGGGCCGAATTTTTGAGTTTCGATATCTCAGCTCTGGAAGGGGCTAGAGCCTCCATTTTTGCACTCAGGTCTAAGTCTCATGGCCCTCTATCAGAATCCAGAGTTTTGGGAAGATTGGAGAAACTTAATTTTTCGCCCAAAAAAAAAAAACGTAAGGGGTACCACTGTCGTTTTTTTTTTCGGGCCGAATTTTTGAGTTTCGATATCTCAGCTCTGGAAGGGGCTAGAGCCTCCATTTTTGCACTCAGGTCTAAGTCTCATGGCCCTCTATCAGAATCCAGAGTTTTGGGAAGATTGGAGAAACTTAATTTTTCGCCCAAAAAAAAAAAACGTAAGGGGTACCACTGTCGTTTTTTTTTCGGGCCGAATTTTTGAGTTTCGATATCTCAGCTCTGGAAGGGGCTAGAGCCTCCATTTTTGCACTCAGGTCTAAGTCTCATGGCCCTCTATCAGAATCCAGAGTTTTGGGAAGATTGGAGAAACTTAATTTTTCGCCCAAAAAAAAAAAACGTAAGGGGTACCACTGTCGTTTTTTTTTCGGGCCGAATTTTTGAGTTTCGATATCTCAGCTCTGGAAGGGGCTAGAGCCTCCATTTTTGCACTCAGGTCTAAGTCTCATGGCCCTCTATCAGAATCCAGAGTTTTGGGAAGATTGGAGAAACTTAATTTTTCGCCCAAAAAAAAAAAACGTAAGGGGTACCACTGTCGTTTTTTTTTTCGGGCCGAATTTTTGAGTTTCGATATCTCAGCTCTGGAAGGGGCTAGAGCCTCCATTTTTGCACTCAGGTCTAAGTCTCATGGCCCTCTATCAGAATCCAGAGTTTTGGGAAGATTGGAGAAACTTAATTTTTCGCCCAAAAAAAAAAACGTAAGGGGTACCACTGTCGTTTTTTTTTTCGGGCCGAATTTTTGAGTTTCGATATCTCAGCTCTGGAAGGGGCTAGAGCCTCCATTTTTGCACTCAGGTCTAAGTCTCATGGCCCTCTATCAGAATCCAGAGTTTTGGGAAGATTGGAGAAACTTAATTTTTCGCCCAAAAAAAAAAACGTAAGGGGTACCACTGTCGTTTTTTTTTTCGGGCCGAATTTTTGAGTTTCGATATCTCAGCTCTGGAAGGGGCTAGAGCCTCCATTTTTGCACTCAGGTCTAAGTCTCATGGCCCTCTATCAGAATCCAGAGTTTTGGGAAGATTGGAGAAACTTAATTTTTCGCCCAAAAAAAAAAAACGTAAGGGGTACCACTGTCGTTTTTTTTTCGGGCCGAATTTTTGAGTTTCGATATCTCAGCTCTGGAAGGGGCTAGAGCCTCCATTTTTGCACTCAGGTCTAAGTCTCATGGCCCTCTATCAGAATCCAGAGTTTTGGGAAGATTGGAGAAACTTAATTTTTCGCCAAAAAAAAAAAACGTAAGGGGTACCACTGTCGTTTTTTTTTCGGGCCGAATTTTTGAGTTTCGATATCTCAGCTCTGGAAGGGGCTAGAGCCTCCATTTTTGCACTCAGGTCTAAGTCTCATGGCCCTCTATCAGAATCCAGAGTTTTGGGAAGATTGGAGAAACTTAATTTTTCGCCCAAAAAAAAAAAACGTAAGGGGTACCACTGTCGTTTTTTTTTCGGGCCGAATTTTTGAGTTTCGATATCTCAGCTCTGGAAGGGGCTAGAGCCTCCATTTTTGCACTCAGGTCTAAGTCTCATGGCCCTCTATCAGAATCCAGAGTTTTGGGAAGATTGGAGAAACTTAATTTTTCGCCCAAAAAAAAAAAACGTAAGGGGTACCACTGTCGTTTTTTTTTCGGGCCGAATTTTTGAGTTTCGATATCTCAGCTCTGGAAGG